AAACGATTTCTGTGACTTCCTAAGCCCTGTCGGTGATGTCTGTGCGGAATTCAGCATTGTCAAAATCCCAGCAGAATATATTTAATTTTTTTTGGCGAGAGGTGTCAAGAACAACTTTTCAGGATGTGCTAAAAAGTAATAATTTTGAACCCGCGTGGGTATCAGCTGACATCTCCGCCGGTTTATCGAGGTGAATCAGGAGCGGCGGGAGCAAAGTGTGCGCCTTGTTTAGACGGACAGGCCAAGAATCCCCGGCGGGTTTGACTTCACCCGCGAAATTGTCGGCTCATCCTCGCAGCGGCTTTTGGCGAACCATTGAACAAAGACGCCGACCACCACGTCACGCGCTTCCAGATGCGCTTCTGATTATTAGGAAGCCACTGGAGCTATGCACTTCACATTCATCTCAATTGAAAACTCATTTCTTCAGAACTGCTTGTTGTGTTTAGTTTGTTGTCCTTCCCCCGCACGGTGCGAAATAAGTCCAACGTACAGTACATGCATAGGAAATGGGGGGGGGGGGGGTGTGGTGGAATGACGACCCATAACTTGAAACGTCGTTTTGTTGATTCGCGGTTCCCTTCTGGAACATAACGGGATCGTGCCTTCCCTGCAACAACGAGAGGCACAGCCATCGTCGTCATCATCATAATCGTCGTCTTCATCATCATCGTCATCATCATCGTCATTGTCTTCATCGTCATCGTCGTCATCATCGTCATCATCATCGTCATCATCGTCGTCATCATCGTCATCGTCGTCATCATCGTCGTCATCATCGTCATCATCGTCGTCTTCATCATCAGCAACAGCTGTGGTCAATCCGCTGCTGGATGACGGTCGGTGGTGATTATGCGTTGCAATCTAGCCAGCGTCCGCGCAAGAGCTGATTAAATTGCTCCATCTCCGCTGCGGACGTCTATCTTGGGCACTACAAATCAGCGCAATTTGAAAACGAAACATCTACAAGTCTGGAATCAAATTGTCAAATCGGCGCCCTGAATTGCGAGAATATCACAAAATCACCCTGAAGTGGGTGGCTAGGAGGTGGGAGGGGGTGAGTCATTACCCCCCCAACCCCACGTCTAATTTTTACTGCCTCGTTTGTGTTATTGCTGCGTTTTTTCTCAGTCTCGTTTGCACAGTTTTGTTTAACCCGTTAGTCTAATGACGCATTGGCATATCATTAGCGTGTCACTTACACACACCGCGGACGTTCACGTGGTGTGACGTGCGTGCGTGATTCGCTGTGCGTACCGTGGGGCTATTCCCATGATGCAGTCCGTGTTGTCACATTTCATAATTTGAACGCCAAAGTCATCGTCGTCGTCGTCGTCATCACTGTCATTAGCCACGTGCTTCTGTATGATCCCGCGTGGACAGCAGCGCGCAAGCAACGCGTCGTCATTTTGTAAGACTCAACACATTCGCCAATCTTCACTCCCTTTAATTTTAAATATATATAATAGGCAACGTTTCAAGCAATGGCCCTTCTACATTGCAAATTGATATATACGCTGTGAAGAAGGCCGATTGCTCAAACCGACACCTATTAGTATATATTTATTTTTATTGCTTTAAGGGCCACAGTGTTGACGAATGCGTTGCGCATTTCTGTTATTTCCTAAACAAATTGTTCGTGAAATAACGAACAGCAGCAATTAAAGTTCGAACTAAATATCTGCTCCGAAATGAAACATTATTGTGTTATGCCGTACCCGAAGTCAAAGTATACGCCTGGACCATTGCAGAAAGACAAGTCATGTTTGTTGGACATGCAGTGAAAAAAAACCAAGAGAATGCATTTTCATTTGTGATGACCGGGAAAATGATCAGTGCAAGAAGCCGGGGAAGACCGTGAATCACGCACACAAGCAATCTGAACAATTGTATGCAACCGGGAGTATGTAACGAGGAAGTCCTTGAGTAAGTATCATGGAAAGAGCTAGACGGAAAGCCATGATCGGCAGCGTCTTTGAGGAAGGACACGGCACACGGGGAGAGGGAGAGAGAGAGGCGGAGACACGCGTGTCACGTCCGTGTCGCGAGCGTGTCGCAGATCGTACAGTCGCGGTGATTGGGAGATTCGCGGCGGGCTTGTGAGCCGCGGTCGAAGAGGCGCACAGCAGGAAAAAAAATCACGGGAAGAAAAAAAAACCGAGAAAAATGTGAATCAGATGTATTTTTACTGGAGGAATCCGATGAGCTGTATAAAGCTCTTTTTCCAAGATGTGCAGGAGGGGCACGGGGTAAGAACGTTACGACAACTAACAACAGAAACACGTGGTATTAGTGCAAAGTAAAGGAAAGGCAAACACATCACTTTAACATAGAGACAAATGAAATTAAACCGTCCCCATCCAACCAGGCAAAGCTCACAGAGGCGTTGACTTCTTTTTCCCGAAGCGAACCGGCCGCAAACGATCGCTCGGCAAAGCTGCCCATCGTGTGCCGATTCACAGCGGCGAAATCATCTCGGCGATCCGAACGCGTTGTTTTGCAAAAACGCACTTGGGAAAGCCGCGCGGGACCTGGACATCGCGATAGTCGTCCACAATTGCCAACAACCGGCACCGCGTCGTTTCGTGGCAGGAGGAAGAAGAGGAGAAGTAGAATAAAAATAAAAAGAAGAATTAAAAGAATAAGCATAAATCATAAAAAGAAGAATAGAAAGAAGGATAAAAAATAAAAAGAAGAATAAATCGTAAAAAGAAGAATAAAAAGAAGGATAAAAATTAAAAGAAGAAAAAAAAGAAGAATAAATTGTAAAAAGAAGATTAAAAAGAAGGATACAAATTTAAAGAAGAATAAAATAAGAATAAATCATAAAAGAAGAATAAAAAGAAGAATAAAAATAAGAAGAATTAAAATGAAAATAAAAAGAAGAAGAAAAAGAATAATAAAAAGAAGGATAAAAATAAGAAGAATTAAAACTAAAATTAAAAGAAGAATAAAAATAAAAACTAAACCTCACCACAAACCGCAACGGTCCTGTCTGCTATTCCGTCGTCCACGATTGAAAACCCGTTCACGCGTCAAGTCAAATCTGTTCGTTTGGCATCAAATCCCTTCGCTCTCTCTGCTCTGCTCTGGAGAAGAGCCATTGGCCAACACGTGAACCCACTGCGTATAAAGATTAACGTGTGTGTCTGTGTGTGTGTCTGTGTGTCTGTGTGTGTGTCTGTGTGTAATGGGGAGCGGTGGTGTAGCGGTTAGTGCTCTGCGCTATGAACCCGGCGACCCGGGTTCGATTCCCGCTCACGGCTATCACCAGTGTCGATTATCTGAACCGGTCCTGGGCCTCCTCTAGGTCGACTCAGCCTCAAATGAGTACCTGGTGCGGTGTGTAAACATCGCCAACTGGGGAGACAAATGCGGTCGGGCGTGGTGCTGGCCACCCACCCCCTCGTGTACCGTTCTGGCCTTCATAGGTGCTCGCTAACAGCACTTGCCCCTACAGTCTGTTAAGGATATACGGGGGATCTTTGTCTCTGTGTTGCCATTACAGTGGTAGTGTTGCGTTTGGCTTCACTACCGCGAGAACGGCAACGACCCAAGTCGGCAAACACCAGTGACGATTATATTGTCTGAATCGTTTTTGGGCCTCCCGTAGGTCAACTGCAGCGGTGTGTAAACATTACCACTGGAGAGACAAAGGCGGCCGGGCGTGGTTTTGGCCACCTACCCTCTCGTGTGCCATGCCGGCCTTCAAAGGTGCTCGCTAACAGCACTTGCCGCAACAATGTGTTCAGGCTATACGGGGGATCTTTCTCTTTGTTTTTGTTTGTGGGCCTCGATAGGGCATCTCTCCGTGTTTAATGTGGCGTCTTTTTGCCGCGCCTGTACACCCTCGCTAACGCGGTCCCCGTATCGATATATTTATTTTAGTTTAACCTACCGCTTGCCCCCCCCCCCCCCCACCTGTCCTTTTGATTGACACGTGTTTCATTCACCGGCTCCGGGTTCGTGTGCTCCGTGTGGCCGGTGAAATTCATCGTTTCGCATTTACCCAATCCTCGCCATCCACGGGTAGGTCTAGCGCCGTGCAGGCATCGGTGGGAACAGCCGGGAAGTAAATCCAGGTTTTTCAGCCGCCGATTAAACCGCAAGTAAAGCTAGGCGATGCTCTTAGCCCAATCGCCAATAGCTGCACACACACAGACACACAGACGAACGAAACATTCAAATTAATTTTTGCTTTTCATTTCATTCGTGTAATGTCCAGCAGCTGTGAGCATGATAAAATATTGAAACTGTTCTGTGATGAACTTCTCTGTAGGTGTGCGGGCTACAGAGCACACAGGCTTTAATGTGGATGAGAGGTCACGTGAACGGATCTCAGAGGTAGTTCTGCGGTATCTCCTTCCGCGGGACACTTGACGACGTGATGCCGAATGCATAATCGGCATGTATGTGTATGTACACTGTATGTTGAACTTTTTCCCACCATACGTAGCCAACCATGCTCATCAGCTGCGCGGGGGAAGGACAACAAACTAAACACAAAAAGCACTTTTCATGAAATGCATTTTCAATTTTGATGTAAACGTGCACAGCTCCAGTGGCTTCCTAATATCGGAAGGAAGAGCGTTCCAGACGGCCGCAGAAGCGCATCTGAAAGCGCGCGATGCAGTGACCGTCTTTGTTCGATGGCCAGCCAAATGCCGCTGCTGCTGCTGCGAGGATTCCCGGCTTGACGTCGCTTTTCCAAATCATTGACTCTGTCCCCACGACGACAAGCAGGACACTCACGCGGACGTGGGGATGTTTGGTAATCACGTCGGCAATGATTTACGACAAAAACGCGAACACACACACACACGGAGACATTTAAATTTCAACGTAAACATCGCTACACTTTTTTCAAGTCCACTTCCACTACCGGAAGGGAGAGCGTTCCAGACGGTCGTGGAAGCGCGTCTGAAAGCGCCCCAGGTCGATGCGCTCACCAGCTCGGCTTCCGCGAGCTTCATCCGCCGTCATTGATGTTTTCGCCGCAGGCGAGCGGGAGCTCGTCGGACCCTCTGGACGTGATGAAGACGATGGAGACGCAACTGGAGGTGGGGCTCGCATCGCGAATAAAGCGCCGGGCTGCCGCGCGGCACGGAGCCGGCGCTCAGGGCGCCTGGGTTTCGACTCCCAGGGCCTCTCGCCGAGATTAAGCGCCAAGTTCGCGTTCGTTAGCCGCATCGACGGTCGTGCAACCAGCGGCTGCACAGAAAAACTAATTCCAGCGGTTTATTTTTACTATAAATAACACAGCCCATTATTGTGGATTGAGAGTGTTGATGCTTTGATGTGTTAATTCATGAGTGGAAGAAAACCCCTCGCAGCATACCGAGCCTGGGCTAAATATGGACCAGGGAAATTTCAAGTTCCTCTCGGTGATATTTCCAAGCAACTTCCAGGTTTTTTTGCACGTCAGAGGCATCACGTTGCTCAGACAATGGACCCTTTCCCGGTCCAAGACGTCTGCAAGTTGCAGGGTGGGTCCCCTTCGCTGCTGAATCATAGAACGTGCAAGCGTTTCAGCATTCATTTTATTTAGAGGCATAGCGCCATTGAATTTAAATACATTGCACTCACCGCAGTGAACTGTAGTGACACAACCGCATTCTATGATGCCCTCCTGCATGACCTTGTGGGAGTCTCGGTACCGATAAAGATATTTTATTTTTACTCTTTGGTTCTTTCGGTAAAGTCACGTAGGAATAAAATAAAATAAATTAAAACACGACGTTTCGGGCGCAACACAACCGTCCATCATCAGGTGGGACAACCACGGCAAGAAACAATTGCTGAAGCGGGCAAAATTTCAAATCTAGATATATATTTTATTTTTCCGTCCGGTTCCGACGACGTACACGTACATAATCGGAATAGAATCGGAAGAAAACTGATGACGTATGTCATCGAAACGAGAAAGGGGTTAAGCGTGCTTGGGATGAACGTGCTGGGTTTGTTTATTTTATTTTATTTCGTCGCTGCGTAGGCTATTTGCGTCCATGCCTCCGCACAGCTCTCTGACGTGCCCAGGTCGTAGCGCGCAGTTTTATTTATTTTGCTGCCACACGACATCCGACGTTTCCGTCCGGAGGACACCGAATAATCCCCTGGAATTGAATTCCTCAAGAAGCTCCCAGCAACAGCGGAGTTAATCGTGGTAAATGATGGCGGAGAAAGGAAAACAACAAACAACTCAAGCAGCTCGAGCCGCAGAACGCACGGGGATAGCTGTGCATGGGCCCTGTTGTAACTCTCGGAGCCGCCCCTACCGGACATCCGGGACAATGAGCTTCATAGCTCATCAGATTTCTCCAGGATTAATAAAAAAACTAATTCTGAGTCGGGTGGGGGTGGGGGAGGGAGCCTTGAACCTTCCGCTGTCGTGCCGTGTGCTCGTAAACCCAGAGTTTTAAAATTCAGACGCGGTAAATCCGCAATTGCACGCCTTCTGCGTGCCAGCTCCGCGCAGGGGAAATGCGTTTGGAACGGACCTCCGCTGGCCCAGGTCCACGCGAGTGACGACTATTATGGTAATTGTTGTAATTACGCCGCTTTGTTTACGCAGGGAAGCATCGCCCAACTCTCAATATTTCATTTTTATCAGGGTCCTGTCACAATCGCGGGGAGGGAGGGGGGGGGAGGTCCTGTCACCATTCACTTTTGCGTCTTTCGAGCAGCGATGCCGTAAGGACATGTTGACAGTGATCATTGGGGCCATGCTATGTACGGCGCAGTTAAACCTCACAGAGCCGGAATTCCTGGGCGAGAAAGGATTCCCGCAACAAACGTACATGTCACCACTTTACAAACGACCAAAAAAACCGTTGTCCACGTGTAAATTAAGCCGCACACGCTCACACACGGTGGAAGACGGCTCACATCAGCCAGCCGCAGGAGGTGTCACGTGACCAGTCGTGACCACAGCCATAGGGACAGCTACACTTGACGTGGTGCCACGGGTGTGGAAATATTTCCCCGGCTCGCCGATTGAAACGGACTCCACCCGTTTGTGTGTGTCTCTCTCTCTCTGTCTCTCTTACTGTCTCTCTCTCCCTGTCTCTCTGTCTCTCTGTCTCTCTCTCTGTCTCTTTGTCTTTGTCTCTCTCCCTGTCTCTCTGTGTCTCTGTCTCTCTCCCTCTGTCTCTCTGTCGTCTCTCTCCCAATCTGCCGTCTCTCTCCCTCTGTCTCTGTCTCTCTCCCTCTGTCTCTGTCTCTCTCCCTCTGTCTCTCTGTGTCTCTGTCTCTCTCCCTCTGTCTCTCTGTCGTCTCTCTCCCTCTGTCTCTGTCTCTCTGCCTCTGTCTCTCTGTCTCTGTCTCTCTCTCTCTGTCTCTCTGTTTCTGTATCTCTCTCTGTCTCTCTGTTTCTGTATCTCTCCCTCTGTCTCTCTGTCGTCTCTCTCCCAATATGTCGTCTCTCTCCCTCTGTCTCTGTCTCTCTGCCTCTGTCTCTCTGTCTCTGTCTCTCTCTCTCTCTGTCTCTCTGTTTCTGTATCTCTCCCTCTGTCTCTCTGTCGTCTCTCTCCCAATATGTCGTCTCTCTCCCTCTGTCTCTGTCTCTCTGCCTCTGTCTCTCTGTCTCTGTCTCTCTCTCTCTCTGTCTCTCTGTTTCTGTATCTCTCCCTCTGTCTCTCTGTCGTCTCTCTCCCAATATGTCGTCTCCTCCCTTCGTCTCTGTCTCTCTCCCTCTGACTCTGTCTCTCTGTCTCTCTCCCCCTGTCTCTGTGTCTCTCCCCCTGACTTTGTCTCTCTATCTCTCTCCCTTTGTCTTTGTCTCTCTCCCTCCGTCTCTCTGTCTCTCTCTATCTCTCTCTGTCTCTCTGTCGTCTCTCCTCCCTCCGCCGTCGTCCCTGTCCCTGTGTGGTGTCCACCCGCGTGCCCAGGTCGCGGGCTCCGACCGGGCCACAAAGGCGGCGCGCGGCGTGGGGGAGCGGGCGCCGCCGACTCGCGCAAGCAAGATCATGAGGAACAGCCTCTTCCAGCTCATGATCTACTCGCTGGAGCCGCTGGGCGAAGGTGAGCCTCGATGCCACGACGAGCCGGTCCTGTTGGCATCCCCCTCGGTGGCTCGGGGATGTTAACCGCCTCGCCTGGTATACGGGAGGTCGTGGGTTCGATCCCAACACTGACGCCTGATGCTGTATGTCTGGGCGCCACGATGGCGAGATGTTAATTGCCTCGCCTGGAATGCAGGAGGTTGTGGGTTTGATCCCAACCCTGACGCCTGCTGCTGTATGTCTGGGCGCCACGATGGCGAGATGTTAACTGCCTCGCCTAGTATACAGGAGGTCGTGGGTTTGATCTCAACCTTTGACGCCTGATGTTGTATATTTAGGTGCCACGATGGCGAGATGTTAATTGCCTCACCTGGTATACGGGAGGTCGTGGGTTTGATCTCAACACTGATATCTGTATATTTGTAATTTGTGTGTTCTCTCGCTCTCTCCCCGTGGTCACGTGGCTTTTTATCCGGATCCATCCGGTTTTCCCCTCCACATTTAGAATCAATGTGCATTTTAGAGTATTTGGCTGCTATATATTACCACGTGATAAGCCACTTCGGTTGAGCTATCATATTTGTGATGGCCAGGTCGCTTCTGAAAAAGAGCTGCATAGCTCAGTGAGCCTTAGCTGGTAAAATAGAAACCGTTGAGGGTTTAAATCTTGATTTAAAGCTTTCGTGACTGCAGGAATTCATGCTCTTGGGTCATTCGGTCAAGTTTCTCTCACCTGAAGACGATTGCTTGTGTTGCGATCGAAACGTCGTGATCTATTATTTTTTATTTACGTGACTTCACCAAAAGACCCAAGAGGACAAGGTGTTTCAAACAGATGGACCCAATTTAAAAGACATAGCGATTTCAAATCGGGTCCATCTCTTTGAAACACCCGGTATATATACCATTGGAACCTCATTTGCCAGTAACAAAAAATGATAATTGTTTTTTTACTCTTTTATCTGGCAACAAAACTGACACCTTTTTTACAAGGAGTCATGTTTGCATTGACCACAATACCTGCAGTCGGAATGCAAACAAAAAACACAACTTTGATAATGTGTGCACTGTCCTTGAAATTGATTGGTCCACACTCGAGACAGCTTTCTTTAGAGCCTAGTCTCACATGTCTCACAGTGTATACATTATCAGAGTTGTGTTTTTTGTTTGCACTCCGACTGCAGGTATTGTGGTCAATGCAAACATGACTCCTTGTAAAAAAAAGGTGTCAGTTTTGTTGCCAGATAAAATGGTAAATAAGTATAACCCGTAAAAACAAAGTTTTTCACTATAAATCCTTTATATGCGTGGCGGCTAGAGTCCTCTCGTCCTCTGGCTTGAGATGGCTGCCACCTATGGGTCAGATGATTGTCTGCCAGTATTAAGCAATTGGTAATTAAATATTTAATTTGTTTTCCCTAAACAGTGTAAAATTTTTGAAAAAAAATTTCACGAACATTAATTGTCTCGCACAACGAGTCTGTGTGCAAAATGTCAGCTCTATTGGATCACGGGAAGTGGGTTAAAAAACGACCGAAAGATTTGCACGGTCGTAAGCAAGCAAGCACGCAAGCAAGCACGCAAGCACGCAAGCAAGCAAGCAAGCGAACTTAATATAAAGGATTAAAAAAACTATTATCACCCTGTATATATAGTTGATATTTTTTACTTTATTATGGCTCGTCTGTTGTTGCGGCCACGCACAGGCACAAATCTCGCCCCGAGGGGAGGGCCTGAAAATTTCGTAAGCGCTCAGAACTTTATAATTTTTCCCTCGATGTTACTCGATGTCAGGAGTCAGAGTTATTTCCTGCTCGAGTGAGCACTGGGGGCCCTGTCCGTGTACCGTCGACTGCCCTGCCGAGCCAGCGGTTTCTCATTGCTATGTGACTTCCCTACAAAGTGGTACCTTTTTAATTTTATCGACCCCGGAGGGATGATGGACTGAATCAACTTCAGGCCCCCCACCCCACCCGACCCCAACCAGGATTTGAACTCGCAACATTCAACTCACGAGCTGTTTCCTTCCACCGGCTGAGCCACCCGGACAATTTTACGGATTTGCATCAAACATCAATAGAGATGCACGCTGGGAATTACCTTGAGAGATAGAGCGAGGAACTCGTGGATTAGAGGATATACGCAGCTTAGAGAGAGATCACATTTGACTGTTATTAGAAGTACAGCAAAATCGAATGTTGTACTGTACGTCTATGCCCCCCAGCATCCGTTCTCCCCCGCACTCTCTCAACCCGGACTGCCCAGCGTGGTGAAGTATGGTCAAATATCCATCAATGACCCACGTGGCCTGGGAATTCCCTCATCCAGCAGTGAATCGTTCTCTGATCCACGTCTTTCTCTCCGTGTTGCTCGTTGTAAATTCCAAGCGTGCACCTCCTCTCTGCTTCTTAGCACGCTGATCAGATTTGCCTCCGTTTTCTGACCCAGTGTCCACGTTTACTGGGCTTGAGAGTGTTGGTTTGTGGTTGATGCTTTCGTGTGTTAAGTGATGACCGCAAGATAGACCCCCTGAGTGATACCGAATTGTGGCTAAATATGTGATTAAGTGATCCGTGTGCCCATGTGACCTGTACACGGCCGGTCCTTCAGCCGACAAGGATTCTCAGCAGGATGATTGGAAACTCTGGTGCGTGCTTTTCAGAGATTCACGGAGTCGGATCCAACCAGAAGTTCTACGAAACGATCACAAAAGAAGGTAAGAACGACCGTGAGATGCGGCCACATGCACCGAGCATTGACACTCACCCGGTATGGCAATTACACGGCTGCCCTCTCTGCCCAGCAGTGGATTGACATATATTTTGGGTCTTTTGGTAAAGTCACGTGGATGGTTCAAATAATCTTCCTGATGACGATCGCTTGTGTTGTGATCGAAACGTCGTAGTTTTTTATTTATTTTCATCAGGATGACGATCGCTTGTGTTGTGATCGAAACGTCGTAGTTTTTTTAGTTATTTTCTTTGAACCTATCTATGAGACTCAAACAATATGAATTCCTGCAGTCACGAAAGCTTTAAGTCAAGACTCGCCGTTTTGCATGTGTGTTGAGCCTCTTTCACAGCGTACGTGGGCAACCGTGCTAATCGGTGGTGCCGTAAACATCTACATGGCGATGATAACTGCGCAGTGCTGGGTTTACGATGTTTGGCTGACGACGAAACTAAAACGGCAACTCACATTCGGCCACGCGCCCCCCCCCCCCAGAGTGTAAAGAACGTCTCCTGAGCGCAGGGTCACGTGGTGAGCCTGGGGGAGTCTGGGGGAGCCGGAGGGAACGGGAGGGAATGTGGGGCCCCAATGTTTGATTTGAGCAATTTGCGGAAGCCAAACGTGACCGCTCTGATTTACAATTAAAATAAAACGCGGCACGTAAATGAAAGCGTTTTCATTATAAAACAAATTAAACGGCGTTTTCAATCATTTTTTTGTTTCTTTGACGCTGTTGTTGAAAACAAATCTCATGCTGGTTGTCAACGGGGCCCCATCTCGGAACTTTGGCAACCGAGGGGGTGGGGGGGGGGGGGCAAGGCCCCCCCCCCACGCCCGTTGCGCCACTGGGAACGAGGGATAAGAAGGAAGTTTTGTGGAGAGATTTAAAAGCGCAGAGAAAGGGGCCGAGACAGAGTGAACTGGCGGAGCGAGCTTAGAAACCGCCGCTCTCTGTTTACCCCGATCTTTGCGGTCGTGTTTGCAGAAGTCTGCTCAACTATTAAAACAAAACTTCGTTTATCCACCGCGTCGATCTCAAAATCCTCACCGAGTTTTAGAAATAGTCTTTCAAACGATCGCAGCAGCAGCAGCAGCGGCAGTGTGCAGCAGTGTGCAGCAGCGTGCAGCAGTGTGCAGCGTGCAGCAGCGTGCAGCGTGCAGCGCGCAGCAGCAGCGGCGTCTTATCCATGAACCTGGTGATTGTGCGTCTCCTTGACAGCGCACCTGCAGGAGCAGCTCTACCAGACGTCCGAGGCGGCGTTCTCCCCCGCGCAGACCTGCGTGGCCACGGCCGGTACGAGCAGGCACGGCGTCTTCTGCTGCCTCTCCTGTCTCCGCGTGTGCTCGCTCTCTCCTCTCCCCCTCCTCTTTCTCCTCTCATCCTTTCTCTCTTCTCTCCTCCTTTTCTCTTTCCTCTCATCCTTTTTCTCTCTCTCCTCTTCCTCTCTCTCTCCCCTCTCCCCCTCCTCTCTCTCCTCCTCCTCCTCTCTCTCCTCTCATCCTTCCTCTCTCTCCTCTTCCTCTCTCTCTCACCTCTCATTGTTTTTACGATCAGTGGAAACAAGAAGATTCTCGGTGTATTCGGCACTTTGCTTCGTTCATCATTTCTTAATTTAAAAAAATTATTTAAAATTTTAAAACTTGGCTTTATATAACCCCCCCCCCCTCTAGCTCACTCTCTCGCTCACGCTCTCGCTCGCTCTCTCGCTCGCTCTCTCGCTCGCTCTCTCGCTCGCTCTCTCGCTCGCTCGCTCTCTCTCTCTTGCTCTCTCTCGTTCTGCACGCAGCCCTCCTCTCTCTCTCTCTTCCCTCTCCTCTTCTCTCTCTCCTCTCATCCTTTCTCTCTCTCCTCATCCCCTCTCTCCTATCCTCATCCTCTCTCTCCTCTCCCAGCGTTCTCCTCTGTCTTGTAAAGTTGTAAATGTTTTGAGTTTACTCTCCAACACAACGGTGTGCTGAAGCAATCATTAATTGGCCCTTTTTATTTACTTAACAAAACTTAATAATTGTCTGCGTCGGGTGCTGGTGAGTTCACGACACATTTATATTTGCGCGATCTACCCCCAATAAAAAACTTTAATTGATTTTTTTCAGTCGTTTTTTGTGGTGGCTCCATGCTCCACTTTTAGGGGCCTGCAAAATCCACTTCCGGTCTTTTAACGCTCTTCACTTAAATGTCTTGAGGTTACTCTCCAAGACAACAACAGTATAAAGATGGTGAATTATTATTCTCGAAAATAATAATAAAACTTGACTCTACCCTTACCGGTACGAGAACGGTGTTCAGATGTTCAAACATCAAATAGACACGACCGCTCAAGCCAAGCTGCTGTTCATGCTTTGATGTCAGCACTGCCTTTGTGCAAGTTTGCCTTTTGGCGTTCTCTGGTCTAACACCGGTGAGACAGGGCCATATAAAGGAGTATGTCTCTGGTGTAGGACAATGGGTTTCAAGGATAATGCATTCATTATTATAATTATCATCAGAGCCATGTTTGTTTGAAAGTTTTATCACAAGCACGTGCGGTTAATGCAGACTTTGTGTCTTGCTATAGGTGTCTATTTGGTGTTTGTACATCTTAAAGGGTAAAAGCCTGGTCTTTGTTCAATAACAGCGGGGGGGGGGGGGGGGCGAGGTGCTGTGATACAATTGCTCACGTTTGATTCCCGTGACACTTTTTATAAAATCGGCTGTGTCGGGTGGCGGAGGGTTTTACGGCTCACTGACTTTGTGCGCGATGACCTCACCCAAGCAGGAACTAATCAACGAATCGCTTTGGGTGTTCTTTAAACGAGAGACTGGAATGCAATCACGGTGGTGGCGGTGGTCTTCATCGGTCATTTTATTTTTCATGAACAAGACGACCTCTCGTGGGATCTACGCAGGGTTTTCCCACGAGGCCAGGTCTGGCGTTGGCCCGTCATCGCTGGCTGCGTGCAGCACATTCGGTGTTAATTCTAGATTTGAAGCTTTCGTGACTGCAAGGATTCATACTCTTAGGTTTTTTTGGTAAAGTCACGTAGGTAAAAAAATAATAATAAAAGATAAATAATAAAAATAATAGAAGAAATAATAGAAATAAAATAATAAATCACGACGTTTCGGAGGCAACACAAGCTTCCGTCTTCATACAGCAATCGTGCTGTGACGGTTCCACCTGAAGACGGAAGCTTGTGTTGCCTCTGAAACGTCGTGATTTATTAATTTATTTCTATTATTTCTTCTATTATTTTTATTATTTATCTTTTATTATTTATTTTTTTCCTACGTGACTTTACCGAAAAAAACCTAAGAGTACATTCGGTGTTGCTTCTGCAGTGCACTTCATTCGAGAGAGGCGGTGGGGCCCACTTACTCGGGTGCGGTGTCAGAGAACCTGAGCCGGCACTGCCGAGGTTCCGGCTTGTGAACTGGGGGCAGCCGGCCCATCGTCAAAATTTCGGTGGGGTCTCAAGTGCGGTGAATTGTGTGGTCTCAGCCAAGATTACCAAACGATTGCAACTGCCACCCGTTTTTAAAATGTAGTTTTGCACTTATTTTCGCCAAAATTCCAGCTAAATATTCGTTCCATTGTCACGTGACAAAACGATTCTCTGTAGCAGGGCACGTGTCCAGCAAGCTGTGCTCAATTCTCAGCCACGGGTATTGTTTAGTCGGGTGACTGTCAGGTCCACGCTTCGCGATTTCGCTTTGTTGCGCCCATTCTTTTTTGGAACGCATCCTCCACCGCGCAAAGCGAGGGACACCCGCAATGTAATCGTCCCTCACTTGTAAGCGGCAGCTAAATCACACACCTCAAAGTAGAGTCTGTTCTCCTACAACGCCCCGTGTTTTCATAACGCGAATTGGCTATAGCGCGATGATGAATGTATTAGGGAACGCATTTTTTTTTTATGCGGAATACGAATTGGATGTAACGCGATCGAGCGTACGGCCGCCTCGCCGTAGCGTCGCACGAGGCGTTGGGATGCTGCTGGATGCTTCCCGGCCTTTATCCAGCGTGCGTGCGTGCGTGTGTGCGCTTCTCACGCCTTATCCAGGACTGCGCCCTCACCCCATATTGCATGCTATGTCTCACAACGCGATGTTTCCGTTATGCGGTGTCCTTCAGGAACGCAACTCCTGCCGCGTCGAAGGAGAACAGACTGCGGCTGGTAATCCGTATTACGGTCCGTCGCTCCGGCGATTTGTAATCTGGCTTGCGCTCTGCCCAAAACTTCGGCTGCCAGACGGCTGCAGCGGAGCCCCGGAGGTGACGGCCAAGGCGCTGAAGGACGGGGAGTTGAACGCCGCCGCCGACGACAAGACCAACGGGGGCACCGTCCTCGCCGCTGACGGGCAGGTGCGATGCTCTTCCTCCTCCTCCTCGGAGAGAGAGTGAGACAGAGTGAGACAGAGTGAGAGAGTGAGAGAGAGAGAGTGGGGGTGAGAGAGTGAGAGAGAGGGGGTGAGAGAGAAAGTGAGAGAGAGGGGGTGAGAGAGTGAGAGAGAGAGTGGGGGTGAGAGAGTGAGAGAGAGGGGGTGAGAGAGAAAGTGAGAGTGAGGGGGTGAGAGAGTGAGAGAGAGGGGGTGAGAGAGAGAGTTAGAGAGAGTGGGGGTGAGAGAGTGAGAGAGTGGTGGTGAGAGAGTGAGAGAGGCGGTGAGAGAGTGGGGGTGAGAGAGTGAGAGAGAGGCGGTGAGAGAGCGAGAGAGATAGCACGTGATAGAGGCAGACTTTTTAAACAACTTTTTAGTGCCGCCAGCAGCAACATCACTGTAGGCGATTCCGATACGAAATACCGGCAAACAAATAACAAACACGAAAAATCTACGCGCTGTGGCGCTAAGCTGTGAGTCGCTCGTAGGTGGTGATCGCGACGCCGATGGGAAGCGCGCAAGTGCACGTGATGCGACTGCTGTTGATGATAACAAATGTTCTGGTCCTGCTGTTGCTGATGATGATGCCATGGATGATGATGATGCTGCTGCCGATGAAGATACCAGTGCCGATGATAATGGTTCTACTTACTGTAGCTCATGCTGCTGTTGATACTGTGTCCACTACTGATGATGACTATGGCTATCCCGATGATGATGTGTTGATCATTAATGATGACGATGACTGCGACAACGTCGTGATGATGTTTGATAATTGGCCGATGATTGCGCTGCTGCCACTGCCGCTGCTGCTGCCGCTGCCGCCGCTGCCGCCGCTACCGCCACTGCCGCCGCTGATGATGATGATGCTGCTGCTCCTGCTGCTGCTGCTGCTGATGATGCTGCTGCTCCTGCTGCTGCTGCTGATGATGATGATGATGCTGCCGCCGCTGCCGCCGCCGCTGCCTCCGCCGCTGCCGCCGCTGCCGCCGCTGCCGCCGCTGCTGCTGCTGACTTAGGCGATGATGCCAGTGACAATCACAGTGGCCGTGTCCCAGCAGCCGGCGGCTTCGGAGGTGGGCACCCTGAGTCGTCGCAAGGCGGACGGGGCGCTGGGCGCAGAGGAGGAGGAGGAGGAGGACTCCGAGATTCCCATGAGCCTCAAGTGGCCGACCACGTGGAGGAAGCGTCTCTCCTATCTCCTGCTGCTACCCATCGTGCTGCCCCTCTGGGCCACGCTGCCCGACGTCCGCAAGCCGGTGGGGGAGCGCGTGCGGTGCGGGGGAGCGGCGGTGGAGCAGTTAGCGCCGCGCTGCGCTACGAACCCGGCGGGCCGGGTTCGATTCCTCGCTCGCGGCCAACGCCGGCGACGATTATCTCAAACGATCTCGGGCCTCCCCTAGGTCGACTCAGCCTCTAATGAGTACCTGGTGCGGTGTGCAAACATCGCCACTGGGGAGACAAAGGCGGTCGGGCGTGGTGCTGGCCACCCACCCCCTCGTGTGCCGTTCCGGGCCTTCATAGGTGCTCGCTTACAGCACTTGCCCCTCTAGTCTGTTAAGGCTATATGGGGATCTTTGCCTTGTTGTGCATGCCTGTCGAGCGATGTCCTTCGTTGCAAGGCCCGCGGGCCACTGGTGGCCCCTGGTGGCCTTTAGTGCGGCCCCCTGATGATACTCAACAGATGTGAAAACACTCCCCCATCATCATCGTGCTGCTGTCAAACCCCCAATGGTTTCGCACTGATGATGTCTCATCGGCGAAAGTGGCCCCCCACTATAAAATTCGTGATGAACGCTGCTGTAGAGTCTTGTGGGGAGCGGTGGCGCAGTGCTCAGCAGGCCGCGCTACAAACCCGGCAAGCCGAGTTCGATTCCAGCTCACGACCAATAACAGTGGCAAATATTTTAACCATTCCTGGGCCTCCCCTAGGTCGACTCAGCCTCAAATGAGTACCTGGTGCGATGATTATTATTTCCCTTCTACGTGGCTTTACCGAAAGAACCAAGAATATAAACACCATGAGATTTGTTTTCAACAACAAGTGTAAAGGAATACAGACTTGTGTAGCGATGTTATTAGTAAAATAGGAGCCACGATATACAGAGTGCTTCAAACAAATGTGAACTCTTCCAAGAATTTGCAACAAAAAAAACGCAATAAATGTGCCTCCGAGCTCTGGAGACCACCTGGAGATGATTCCAGGCAATGTGTTGACAATGATGGCGAACAAGTGGAGGCTCTTTAACTTTTTGAAGCTATTAACATTACATTTGCTATAATGCTACAACAGTGTATTATCCGTTCTTTTCCCATTAAAAACGATAGTCCCACGTAAGTGCTAACATGTTTTTGAAGCACCCTGAAAAAAGCCTCGATGCGAGACAAATCGAATATTGAGGCTCCACCTGACCGATTGCCGCACCGCCTGAGCTGATGACACTGGTCAACAAAAAAAACACATTTTTTTCTGGCCTGGACTTTTGCAGCTGTTTTAGACTAATTTCAGGGTGCTGATTCCAAATCTGATCTCAGATTTGCTCTATCGCATCATTTTTATGCTATCGGCATACCCCATTTTTCATTGATTTTACCCGAAATTAACTCTGTCACTTATGATTGCAAGTTGTTGCGAGTCCGTGACTGCTTTAGTGTTAAAATATGCTGCTGTATTTTTAGGATAGTGTGTTTATAATATAATTTTATGTAGATATCCACATTTATTTAATATTTTCTTCTGCAGTTTTTATTGAAAATCCAATATTTGATATCTCAAAAACCTGATGTGATAGACACAAACTGATGCCAGATTTGGAATCAGCACCCCAAAATTACCTTGAAACCGTTGGAATACCTTATGCCAGAAAAAGTGTGTTGACCAGTGTAATTTCGTCGCTAGACCACTGAGAGGAGTGGGCTGGTCGTGGCGGTGGTGGCGGTGGTGGTGTTTGTGTTGTTGTTATTGTTGTTGTTGTTGCGTAGTGTTTATTATCCCGCGCGGACAGCGAGGTGTTGCGACCGCGGCGTCTCCCCCCCGTGTGCGATGCAGGAGGCCAAAAAGTTCTTCATCATCGCCTTCTTCGGATCCATCCTCTGGATCGCCATGTTCTCCTACCTGATGGTGTGGTGGGCCCACCAGGTGAGCAACACGTGACGTCGCAGGCAGCGTGACGCACTGTGCAACACTCCGCTGACGGACGTGCGGTCGTGCGTCTATTCATTTAACTAATTCCCCCTCCATTGGAATAAACTGCCACTCCACATCAAACACGCAACTTCACTAACACCATCTTTAGTGCCTCCCTTAAGACTCGTTTTGTCAATAGCACATCCCTCTACTACTTCCTATTCTCGTCCTTAAAACCGTCACCATCCTTCCCCCTTCTTAACCTCATCCCCCTTCCTGCCCACACGTTCCTGTCTCCAACACTCAAACCGCATCCCTTTCCCCCACAATCAGCCAATAACCAACGTACATTTTTTACTACAGTGATCCCTCGTTTATCGCGGTTATTGGGGACCGGAACCCCTCGCGATGGGTGAAAATCCGCGAAGTAGGATTGGCCCCCTAGGAATTTCCGTATATGTGTGTGTGGGTACCAGAATGTTTAAAATATGTATATTTATACTTTATATATATATTTTACTTAAATCTATTTAATTATTAAACCTTAATATTATACATTCACTCTCTCTCTCATACGATACGTATTATGGTGTTCTACACTCACCAATGACAGTAGTATCTTGAGACTTGACTCCAGTAATGACGACGATGACAATGACGATGACAATGACGACGATGACAGACCTGTGCAGTTCGATGAATTTGATGATGAATGATGATGATGGTGTTACTGCACAGGTATAATGAGGCCTTTAAATCAGTTCGAAAAATCCGCGATGCATTCAGGCCGCGAAACTTGAACCGCGAAGTGGCGAGGGATTACTGTACTCTTAGTTTTTTCAGTAAAGTCACGTAGGTAAAAAAATGGAATTTAAACTAATACAAATAAAATGATTAAAATCACGACGTTTCGGAGGCAACACAAGTCTCCGTCATCAGGTGGGACCGTCACAGCCAGATTTGCTGTATCAAGTGATAGCGCTTTTGTCAAAATCCTCGATAGGATGACATTTATTTTATTTCTCTGTCCGTGCATTCTTCACTTCGCTCCCTTGCATTACATTTTACCTTACGGGGTGGAGGCATAGCTCAGGTGTCCGCGACACTCAAGTGGCACTGCTGAGGTCCTCAGGTTAAATCCGGACCTCAGCCACCTGCTATTCAACCGAGTTCTCAAGTGTAGTTGTGTATGAATGTTGAACTTCTTTCACACCGTACGTTGCCACAACCCTGCTAATTGGAGGTGTGCGGATGGCCACGCTGCTGAAATTAACTTCAACCAGCCATTGGTGCTGTCGACAACCCTGCCCCCTGTTCAATTTCAAGCTGAAGAGTTGAGATTTGTCCCTGCCTCTGACTGACTCCCCCCCCCCGGGGTTTTTTTTCACTCCATACATTAAATATGCCCACTCCTTCTCTACAGTGGGCACTTAGTCTTGAGATGAAGTCGAATGTGATCATCATCATCACAGTCCATGGGCAGATAGCCCCGTAGGTGTCCCCTGCACATTTCGTCATCTGTTTCCACTTTCCTCTCTGCCTTGTGCCAATACGCTCAGGCAAGCCATTCTCTATGATGCCTTTCTTCTATTTCTGGTGAACGTAGTTGGCCTCTGTTGTCCATCCTCCATGTGTACAAATAGTGACAGGTCTAATTTGAGAAGCTGTGTTAAACCCACATCGTATTGTTTTGCCCTGGTGCTGCACTGCTTTAGCCAGGGCTGTCTGGGTCAGCGAGCCAGCACACCACATCCAGTATATACCTCGCGCTATCGATGTGGTGGTTACTGGTCACATGCCGCCTGCTCCAGTCTGTACCAGTGACCAGGCAAATTTTCAGTGAGAAATTAATTCCTAGATAGATGTAAATTATTCGCGTAAGGAATCGATATTTTAAAAATGTTAAATATATAAATTGTATTAAATTGGTTCACGTGATCGCTGCAGCCACTAGAGGCCGCTACATTCACCACAATGACATTTTTTTTGTATATTTTCGAATCACATACGAGACCCTGAATGGTAACAATTTATCACATCATCAGGGAAGCCATTCCTTCGAGACTTAGCCCGTTGGGTTCGTTCATTGATTAATGATCTGTGCCAAATGTAATGCAAATGGAGTGGAGGTGTCAGGTACTTTATTTATGATTAATTGCTCGTTTTAAAGGGGCTAAATATTAATTTAAGCACCTTTTATATATAAAAAACTAAATAAATGAAATGTAGGTTTTCTAGCCGTTGTGAATTTTGAGGTGTTCTGAATTCACAAATGTCTGATTCGCACAAACCCACGACAATTACAACCACGGTATTAATCATATAATGTATATATAATAAAAATAAATCTTATGGCAGGACCCCGAGGTCCCAAATAAACTACATTTTGGCGACTCCGTCCCACCGCGCACATAAACGCCGCGACCCGCCTGGCACGGATCATTCTGTTGTCGTGTTGTCCTCGCGGCGCTTGAACAAATGCGCAGAAGAAACAAAACTTGTAAACTTTCATTAGCACATCGTGTAGAGCTTGTCGAGAGGAATAGATTACCGTATCGTTCGCCTTCAACAGAAATAAAATTACATCGCAACACAGTTCATGCGAGAGCTGGGAGCTTCTGCCATGAGGTTCATTTGCAGTTTGCAGTTTGGCTTAGAGGTCAGGGGTCAGAACCCAGCACTGCTGACATCCTGGGTTTGAATCTGAGTTTCCACTGCTATTGCGTGTGTCTCTAACCTTCTGTCTCCCCATGTCTCCCCGTGTATCCCCACGCCTCCCGGTTTCTCTCTGCATCTATCCATGTCTCCCTGTGTCTCCCCATATCTCTCCCTCCTTGTGTATCACCGTGTTTCCACACGTCTCTCCACGTTTCTGCACTCCGCGTGTCTCATGTCCCCAAATGTCTTCCCACGTCTCCCCCCCCGCCCCTACCCATGTCTCGTTGTGTCTACCCACGTCGCCACCCCCACCCCCTTGCTACTGTGACCAGGTCGGTGAGACAATCGGCATCACGGAGGAGATCATGGGACTCACGATCCTGGCTGCCGGGACGTCCATCCCTGACCTCATCACCAGCGTGATCGTCGCTCGCAAGGGCCTGGGGGACATGGCAGTGTCCAGCTCGGTCGGCAGCAACATCTTCGACATCACTGTCGGGTGAGGCCAATCACCATCATCATCGTCATTACCATCATCATCGTCATCGTCGTCGTCAACACCACCATCATCGTCATCGCCATTACAATCATCATCATCGTCATCGTCGTCGTCACCACCATCATCGTCGTCGTCATTACCATCATTACCATCATCATCATCGTCGTCGTTATTACCATCATCATCATCGTCATCGTCGTCGTCACCATTACCATCATTACCATCATCATCATCGTCATTACCATCATTACCATCATCATCATCGTCGTCGTCATTACCATCATCATCATCATCGTCATCGTCGTCGTCACCATCATCATCATCGTCATTACCATCATTACCATCATCATCATCGTCGTCGTCATTACCATCATCATCATCGTCGTCATTACCATCATTACCATCATCATCATCGTCGTCGCCATTACCATCATCATCATTGTCGTTGTACTACTTCATAACATAATCGCTCACCCTAATTCACGTGGTAAGATACCGATTTTTTTCGTACTATTTTACCACACATTGATTTTCAAAGTCGATCACTGCCGCTTTATCAAGTTTATAAAAACTAAAATTGCGCGCGATAAAAAAGTGTCTGCACATCGCCAACCCTCCCGCTACCGTCTCATGGACAGACGTCTTTGTTTCTCAGTCATTCCGCTTATAGCTCGAGAACAGAAAGTCACGTGGCGACGAGCAAACACAATCAAAATTAGCAACAACAACAACAACATCAAAACACATTTTTCCTTTTACAAAACATGCACGCGCGTGCGTGTCTGCGTGCACAAACCCACGCTCCCCCCTCCCCCCCACAGCCTTCCATTGCCGTGGCTCCTCTTTTCGCTGATCAATGGGCTGGCGCCCGTCACCGTCAGCAGCAACGGCCTCTTCTGCGCCATCCTGCTGCTCTTCATGATGCTGGTGCTGGTCATCGGCACCATCGCCGCGTGCCGCTGGCGCATGAGCAAGCTGCTCGGCCTCTCCATGTTCCTGCTCTACTTCGTCTTCCTGGTGCTCAGTGTCCTGCTCGAGTTGCAGGTCCTGTCCTGCCCCATCACAATTTGACGACGTCCCCACCTCCATCCCCCCCCCAACTCACGCCGCCGCCGCCGCTACCTCCGGTGGAATCGGTCGTGGATCGGATTCACCGCCGCGCCCTCGCGGAGACGGTGGTGGCGGCTGCGGACTGACACCCACGCAGGGACCACCACCCCCCCCCCCTCCCTGATGATGTCGCGCGTAACCGTGGCGGCGTCGTGGGGAGCGATGTCAATCCTTTGGCCGAGAAGGGTTATCCATCTAGGTGATGTGACGATGTCAGCGCGGGGCGCGCCCCCCCCCCCTTTTCCTCATCGGGCCCTCGGTTGTTGCGCAAGGTGGCCCCCATGGCCGGAGCGTCCATGGGTGGTGGTGTCGTCACTGGTTCTGAGCGTGACAGCGGAGTGGGCCAGGCTGGGTTAAAGGCCGTCGCGGTGGCGAGATGTTAACTACCTCGCCTGGTATGCAGAAGGTTCGTAGGTTCGATCCTGACCCTGACGTCTGCTGTATATTTGGAGTTTGAATGTCCTCCCCGTGGTCGTGCGGATTTTCCCTCCAAATTTGTAATGAACATCACGCATTTAGAGTATTTGGCTGCTATAAATTTCCACGTGATAAGCCACTTCATTTGTGAATCATTTGTGACCAGGTGGCTTCTGAATAAAGAGCAATATAGCTGAGTGGGCCTTACCTGGTAAGATAAATAGTTTAGTAAAGATGCGGTGTCAACTGTAATGAACGATAACAATCTTAGGGGTTATTTTTGGGGGGGGGGCAGGAGCTGGGGTATTCCATTATTGAAGTAATCGATGAGTCTGCCGATTACCATTTGGGTTACTCGACTTAATCACGGAGATGCACTGCTCTGCGCGAGATCTGAATACGCACTCTGTCTCGCTGATGCCGATAGCTCGATCGGGGATTGAACGGGATAAAGAAGATGAAAATCATCCCGGGAACCCAATTCGAATCGATCTGACAGAGGCTGCCAGTGACAGCTACACACCTGATCATGGGGGTTTCCCCCATTCCAGTCCTCGCGAAACCGCCGTCACTACAGTCTGGCATCCGTATTTACAAACACTTTCCAACCGTTCAAGTACACAAATGAAGCCACTGCATGCTGCACGGACCTGGCGATTGGTGGACAGGTCTCGCACTGTGGAACAGAGCGCTCCTCCAAATTAAGATCAGGATCTCCATTTATTTCGGGTCGGCAAAAATCATGAATCTGTTCGGTGCCTGAAGGAGCCTTTTGCTAAACGTGTCCCGCAGAACTGTGGAGAGTGTTGGTTCTAATTAAGATAAGGAGATTTTTTCCGGCTAACATTCGCTTGGGCATAAGCAAAAATACGTCCAGGAGAGTAGCAAGAATGTTAGTGGCATGCGGGGAAGAGGCTACGATAGCATGAGGGCCTCATTGTTAACCCTATGGCCTACGTGGCCACGGCAAAGCCTGGACCGACATTCAGGCCACTCCAGGACTCGGTGGTGACTTGGTGCATAGTCGGGGTGTGTGCACGTTGTTGTGTATGCAGTATATAACAGAGACACTGTGGTTATAGGCTGTAAACGCTAGGCGTGAAAAGATTAACCCAACGCCGCCAACTCCGCCCAGCGATCCCCCCTGAATTATCACGAATCAGCGTCGCGAATTCATTCGAGAATTGATTTCTTGTTTGCCTCATTTTGGAAAACTCGTGAGGGTTAATTACCGTTTATTTTGTCTTTTATGTGCAGTTCTGTGCGCTCCATTTTCTAATTGCGAATCATTCTTATTTGCAAATAATTAGAATCCAACTTTCAATGAACGGTGAACCCATTTAATAGGTTCTTACACACGTATCGTGGGCGTAAGAATTAATTGCGGTCAATTAATTATGGCATGCATGCCTGATGTAGACACATTGTGCAGATTTTGTCAATTTTTTTTTTTAATTACAAGAGTTTTGTTTTTACCGTGGCATCTCAGTGTCTCACACAACCGCAAACTCACCGAGACGATCTTCCACCGTCATTATCTCCTGCGATACCTTTGGAATTGTTCAACCTCTGAGGTCTCATTGGCCCCTCGGTGAGACTGACCTCATCTACTCGAGTCGACTTTGAGAGCAACCCAAAGCCGAACTCGAGTCTTGAGGAGAGCGACTTATCCACGGCTTTTTGTGCTTTCCGTGATTTCCCAGGAGGCATGTAGCTGCTGTCGCGTGAGCCGGGGCCGCTGCTATCTTCGTGAAGCGAGGCTTCGTCGAACGTGGCGAATGGTTTTAGTTTAGACTTTTGTTCTTCTCAAGAAAAAAAGGCTCGCGAGAGCCAACGGTCGCGGACGCGTCGCTGATACAGCAGAAGGCCTCCTGCTCCTCTTAACAACGGTAATCGGTTCCACGAAACCGCTCGTTAAGTGATTTGGTCGTTAAGCGAGTATAGGAAATACACGTTAAAGGCTTAAATCGTTCTGACAGCATCGAAAGTTGCCCTTTTTCAGCCAAAAAAACCTACTTCATAATATTTCAAAATGGATATTAATACGTTAAGATACCGACAACATCATGAACACATAACATTAAGATAGATAGATAGATCGTTTATTGTCATTGTCACCAGTACAACGAAATTTAAAAGAAACGTGTTTAATCAATACATGAATTCGAATTTTCTGTACCTACAGCAGCTCGTCGTTAAAAGCGGGATGGTCGGTAAGCGAACACATTGGCCTCTGTGGAGGCCCGTCGGTCAGCGATTAGTCGTTAACAGGGGTCATCGTTAAGAGGGGTTCTACTGTATAATTAACATTTCGACGGGAAATCGACATATTTCTGCCACGTACAAGCGATCGATCGTCTCGACGTATTTCTGCATTTCCACTGGGCCTGAATTCTGACATGAAGGATGCAGACCAACAACCGCTGAAGTGAAATTCGGTCTGAGGGATTCGGTCCTTCAGCCAGATACGGCGACCGACTCGCGTTGTGCAACTCCTGGAGGCGCGGTATAAGACACCGTCACTTTAAAACCTCAGTACGTCCTGAAGAAGGCCAGTTGCCTGAAACATTGAGATACTACTTTCATCCCAGCGACAGCGAGTAAAACCATCCCCATAATTTGTATCCGTCACGGTATGCATTGCATAAGTTCACCAAAGCGGCTCCTATATATACACGCACACCTGCACACATAATCAGTATTTATGTATAAAACGAGATTTAGCGCTTTAGCCGAGTGATAATTAATAAATGAAGCCAGAAATAAATAATGAACCCGTATTTATACTGTTAATGCAGCGCGTGTGCACATGTGCAGCGTAAATACAATATTTATACGATTTCGTTTAGCGTTGAAAAATGTCAACACTTTTAATAAAATATCACCATCCACAGAGGCGAGAACCCCAAAACCCTACCCCTCTGCTCTATTGGACACGGGGCAGCGGCCTGTCCAGTGTTCATCAGCTGATTTATTCGTGCAAAAATATACATTAATATATATACACATACATTATATAAAAGTAATTTATTGGATGAAAACGTTGTAAAAAGTATTTAATGATTCAGTAGGGTCAATAACCAATGACTTTAAATTAGTCTTCCATTTTAAAAGTGTACTTGATGTGTGTCGTCGACAGAATAGCTGCTGAGGAAACGTTACGGTACAGCGTCACACATCCGACCCTCGGCTAAGCGCAGACATGTGAACATGTACAGGTGTCTCCGAGTTACGATGATCCGACTTACGATATTTCGATCTTACGATGGCGACAGCGATACGACGAAATTGCCATCAACAACCCTTAACATCGTTCAAGTATGCAGACGACGGACAGAATCTTGGCGAGTACAGTACAATATGATACGTTACGATACGTTCAGTGCATGTATGATACATAGCTTTAGTGATTTAATTTTAAGGTCGCCACGATACGATATGTTCAATGCATGTTAAAAGTTTTTATAGCAGATAGGATTGTTTCCTGAAAAAACTTTGTATTAAATTGCAGTTCATATAGGCAGGCTAAGAATTTACCTTGTTTTCTTACATTGCATTTTACTGTGCAATACAGTATTGTAATTAATAAATGCATACAGTATATAGTTTATACAGTACGGTACTGTAAATTGCTCTGTTTTGCTAAATTATCACCATTCTTTAAGACTCCTGGGTAGGCTAGGCCATCTTCGACTTACGATATTTTCGACTTACGATGGGGTCGTCGTAACGCCTCTCTGTCGTAAGTAGAGGAGTACCTGTACATACGATGACAGTTACACCACCGCGCTCACATCAGTTAGTGGACAAAGAGTAAGTAAGCATGGCTTGGCGGTGCTTTTAGAAGTGAGCGAATGTGCGGGAGGTTACGAACGCATGGCCGCGGATTTTGTTTGCGCAAGGTGTGATTTGTGACGGTTAAAATTGGTCGGGGCGGATATGTTGATGGTCGGATATGCGACGTTATACCGCGTATACAGCTTATACAATTTTGTAAAAAAAAAAAAAAGACTGTATATGAAAGCATATTTACATTTGCGTGAATATTTTTTGGGGGGGGTTTATTTTCTAGCATTCTTCTGAGCCAGTAAACCATAGGAGGGTTATAGGCACGATTGCCAACATTAGTTAAGGTTGCGTTTGGAGAATTTTCAAAGTGCGTGCCCCGTTGGCCCGTTTGTTTGGGCCGTCTCGTGGGCTGATTGGTGCATGCCCATTGGCCCGTTTGTTGTGACGTTTAGGTGGCTGATTGGCTACCAGTGGGGTGCAGTTTGAATTTATAACGACAGCTGGCAGTCAATCAGCTTCCTGTTATACTCTTAGGTTTTTTTCGGTAAAGTCACGTCGGTAAAAAAATTATAATAGAATAAAAATAAATAACTCAATTAAAGAATGTGGAGGTTCTTCACTTATACCTTCCCTTCTAGCCCCCCCCCACCCTCCCAGTCCCTGACTGCCACATTTAGATAAGCTCCTCCCCCCTCCCCTTAACCAGTATTTAAGATCTTGTCTCTTGGATTTCTCTTCCCTTGATACATTACATTAAGCTGTGACAGTCCCACCTGAGGATGGAGACTTGTGTTGCCTCCGAAACGTCGTGATTTAATTGAGTTATTTTCATTTATTTTATTATTTTAATGTTTTTTACCTACGTGACTTTACCGAAAAATCCTAAGAGTATGAATCCTTGCAGTCACGAAAGCTTCAAATCTAGCTTCCTGTTACTCAACGGAAATTTCATAAATGAGCCAATGGCAGCAGTCCACAGATGCAGCCAAATGATCTGTACGGAATAGGAGAGTGATATTTGTGTGGGTGTACATTATTATTTGAATCAAATCCCAGAAATAAGACGTATTACTATTTGATTTGTACGAGTGAAGAAGATGCAATATAATGCACTAAACTGTTTAATGTTTTACTAATTACCAGTATTGCAGAGGCCAGTTTTTATCAACATATGTTTGTGATTGGTTATACCGTACCACTGTATTTGCATTGCCATTGTTGTGGGCTGGGTGGGGGAGTATCTGTTTTTTTTTAATGCAACTTTTTTGCCAAATAGTAACACAAGTAATACGATGTCTGCCGTGGTGTGACAGCAATCACACACACTGGGACTCGCAATTGAATGGTCGCCGGTTCGATCTCCTGGCGCGGCGGTTGAAACGATGTCCCCTCTCCTCCGCACCCCCCCCCCCCCATCTCCCCCCCCCGCACCTCTCCCTCTATCCACCCAGTGGTACGGATCAACTGGGTTCGTCACAAAGTGAATACCATCGGCAGGTCGAGCGTGTGGTTTGGGTTGTGGGGGGGGGTTAAGTGTGGCGTGAGCGAGAATCCACCAGGGCCGCACCTATTCCCCTCTGAATATGACATGTCATTTGAAAGATGGGTTCTGTTGGGAATTATTATTATTATGCAAGGCAAGAGTTACTTGGGGGGGGGGGGGTGGGTATTGTATTTATTTCCACCACCACCACGGTTTGTGAGTGCACTACACAACTCTGGGCGAAGGAGTCAGTGACCCTCGCTGTCTCTTTCTCTCTCTCTTTCACTTCGTTGCAATCGTAACTGTACCGGTCTCTACATTTTTTTGACCAAAGACTCTTTTTTCTTAAATATTTTCTCTCGTCGTTGTGAACGGAGACGTTGCACGTGACAGCGACGGCGGTGCGTCGATGTCCACGCGTCCCATTCCTGGAATGCTCAACCGCGACTCTCACGTGACTCTCTCTTTTGGAAAATCCAATTTGCGAGATGCTCTGTTGTGTCGTGTGTGTGTGGTAGGGGTGGGGTGGGTGGAGAAAATCCACCAGGAGCATTGACACTCAATTACAGGTGGCCCCCCTGTCGCACTAGTAGGTGTTTCAACATCCGCATTTTCATCTGACGGTGACTTGGCAGCAGTAGCGTAACTAGCGTGGGTTGCAGGGGGTACCTTGTCCCCACCCCCGTGGCCAAAGCTATGAGTTGGTGGAGGCCTCCTTTGACAACCATCATGACATATGTTTGTCAACAACAGTGTAAAATAACACAGACCTATTTAAATCGCGGTTTCATTCGTTTTTGTTTTCATGAAAATGTGGCCATTTTTACGTTCCGCGTTTTCGTTTTGATTTAATTAGAGCGGCATCGGGGGCCTCCGCCTGGCCGATTGCCGCACCCCCTGAGCTGATAATGTCGTTGCTACGCCACTGCTTCGCAGCCAAGGCCAAGTTTGTCAAAACTCGCAAAGCTTTTTGATCCACCAACCATTGCCTCTCAAGAGTGCTGGATTACAGGAATACGAACCACCAATGCCGATAGCTAAAACAACAAAACAAAACAATGCTTGATTCTAAATCCTCCTGCAGGACCTTCCCAACATTCAAAACCCGTTACGGTCATTCTTCCCACGTCCGCGCACGGCTCCTTTGTCAGTCCACTGCTGGAGGAGGAGGGCCTCGCCAGTGCCGGTAGTGCAGAGGTCGCAAACGTGTACCCGTACCCGGCTGGGTACGGGTAGCCGGGTATCGGGTAGGGTACGGGTATCGGGTACCCGATTGCGACCTCTGCGGCAGTGGGAGTTATTTGACCATGCTTCGCCACGCTGGTCAGTGTGGTTTTGGCGAAGGCGTTGCGCATAGACTTTGGAGCATAGTACGGTACAACACATCGTCCTGCAGAGGTCTGCAACATCTGTTTAATGCGTGGTGTTTGTACGCAGCTGTACACGGTGGTTGCCCATCCAAACATTGTCCAGGCTCCAGCCTGCTTAGCTTCGGAGATCTGACGATATTGGGAGAATTCTGGGTGATTTTGTCATCGGCCATCATTCACGTGGCAAGCGTTGCTCGGTGGCAGTTTTGTCCACGGATATTCCTCCTAATATGACATAAATAATTTTGTGATACTGCATGCATTCGCAACGGTGCACACTTTCGTCAATTACGCCTCCTACGCATTTTCCATAAATATGCTAAATTCCTCTTGATATGCAAATTCTTTTGTCAAGGCGCTCTTCTTCCCCCCTCCAACCCAGCTTAAATATACGCTCCAAGCTTGGTGGTGTTTCATTCTTCACCTGAGGACGGCTGCTTGCGTTGGGGCCGAAACGTCGTGAGAATAATTTTATTATGTTTTATTTTTATTATTTTATTATTTCCCTTCTACGTGACTTTGCCGAAAGAACCAAGAAGATGACGAAGTGCCGTTGGCCACATCACCTATCACATCCTTTTATCCCTTTAAAGGCCGTGGTGCTAAATCGACCGAATGTTTTTTGTTGTTGTTGTTGCTTACATGACAACAGGAGAGCGCGCGCACGCGTGCGCATATTTTTGGCAACACATTTTGGCAGGGACAACCAAATCATTCGCGAAAAAAGAAACCCGAACAGAGAGAGAGCGAGCGAGCGAGCGCGTGCACCACCGGCATGCGAAACCAGTGACCTACTTTGTGCGGCGCCCTTCGGGTCTGAACATTTCATACGGCTCTATTGCCCGTTTCATAATTACAAAGTCCCTCCGGCACGCATGCTCTTTTATCAGCGGGGTTTGGGGACGAGAGGGGGGGGGGTCCGAGCCTACGAGCGTGACGAGAGCCACACAGCGGGGTGGTTAGGGGGGCCCCCGCCTCTCCCCGCGAGTAAAGAGGGAGAGGAGGAAAAGGTCTCCTGTCAAGAGGACAAAAAAATGTGCGATTCCGAAACAGTTACGGTTGGTTCTGTGAAGAAGAACAAGAAGTAGTAACTGCACGTGGCGCGCGTCGCCGTGTCAGAGTTGACTGCTGCCCGACTCGTCGTCGTATAATGCTGCGCGCAATTTTGTTTTTGAGTTTTTTGCCGTGTGACGTGTGGCCGTCGGGGAAAGAAAAAAAACCAACAATCGTAATCTGCTATGCCTCGCGTAAAGAAACGGATATAAATATATACGAAAAAAAGCGAATGCTATTCACGATGTATCTTATCCGGTAGTCGTAGGATTTGTCAATAGGTTTGCCTGTTCATGCTGCATTCTGGTCAACGCATTTGGGTTATTGAGCATTACATTGTCTCTGTATTAGTTCGTGTCGCTGACACTCCGATGTTGCCCCCGAAGCTTTGCTAGAGAGTCCACGATATCCCTGGGCCTCGATGTGGTTCTTTCGACGTCTGCGGTTCATCGAGTGACGCGTTGTGTATGTTCCACAGCATCAAAACGCATTCCCCGCTGTATACAACTTGTCGTCACCACATCAGCAAACAGCTGTGACCTCCGTTTGAAGGTTTTGATTTCCGTCTGATACAGGTTTTGTTTATTCAATCGGACGGTCGTGCATTTATTTTTTTTCATTTCAGTTTTTTGTTGTTGTTGTTCACTTTATTCCGTTGCATTACATCTTGCCTCACAAGGTGCACGCGTGGCCCTGGAGTCACGAAACGCTTGAGCAGCACTGCTAGGATCATCGGTTTAAATCCGCCTGCGATTTAACCGAGTTCTCAAGTGTATTTGTGTATGTATGTTGAACTTCTCTCGCACCGTACGTAGCCAACCGAGGTATGCGGAGGTGCAAGGGAAGGACAACAAACTAAACACAAAAAGCAGTTCTAAGGAAATTAGCTTTCAAATCGAGATTATTTAAAAGTGCACAGGTCCAGTGGCTTCCTAATATCGGAAGGGAGAGCGTTCCAGACGGCCGCAGAAACACATCTGAAAGCGCGCAATGCAGTGGCCGTCTTGAGTTAGTTGATGATCACAGCCTGATCGACAATGACTGCTCAATAACCATCGTATTCAATTTGGGTTTGCACTTAAGGTGGCATCTTTCTGCTCTTTGATTTCAGTTTGGTTGACTTGCAACACGCATTCTTTAGCAGGTCACATACAACGTGTCCCCTTAGATGGGTTAACAGACCAATCGAAATTATTGGACCACAGTGTTGGTGCCCTGCACACTTGAATAAGAATTGTGTCTTTTGTTAGAAAAAAGTTTATCTCAAAATGTCTCATTGACCAACTGAGTATCCATTAAACGAGCGTTCGACTCCGCTTAGTGGTTCTAAGCGAGTCATTTTTCACATTTCTTTGACAGAGACCATGTCGTCCATAGGACAGCTACTGTTGATATCCCACCAAGTGGCACAGCCTCACCAGCTGGTACTCATTAAACTAATCCCAGTGGGATGATGATGATGATAATGACAATGTTGAGAACGTTAAGCGGATACTGCGTGGGATTTGAATGCACCATCGAAAGTTTTGCTGATTTACAAAACTAAATAAATGCGCCAGGAGGTTGGTTACATAAGACCATCTTTCTTAATTGAAACATGTTCCTTTGCTTCCCATTTTAAATGTAAACTTAGAGAAATGTCCGCCCACTGTGTTTTTGCGTCACCACCCATTTCATGGATGAACAGAGCTCATAAATCATTCACGTTTTTGCTCAGTTCATCAACCAACGCTTCTAGTTCATTTGTGTCTCTCTCGCTCAACTCGAGTAACGCAAGTCCTGAGTATTAGTACATTGCGTGTTGGTTGTTTGTTTGTTTTAATGTCCCTGCCTGTTTACGCTTTCCTACTTGAAATAATGTATCGTGTCGTGTGCACCGTGCCCTAGATGTGAACTCTGTCATTGTTACTTCAGCGGCTCGGCGTCGAGACCGGCGGTTGAGGGAGACAGTTCTGTCCGCTCCGATTCATGTTGGCGCCTACGCTCCGATCGTCGCGGGGTTAAAAGCTAAACAAATTCAGCAAAGTGTCGTTGAGTTATTGAGAAGGGCCCATCACACAGACTCTCCCGAGATGCTCTTTCACACAAGGAGGGGGGCCCCTTGCATTGCGATATTTTGTCAATATCTGTCCGTCGGATATTTGGCATTGCGGCATTGAAACCGGAGCACCCCGAGAAAACCCCCACCATTTTTGAAAACTTGATGAGCAACATCGATGCTCCCCTCCCTGTTTTCACGAACGCACCAGCGGGTCTGTGCAACACATCTTTAATGCGCGGCGCTGTTGTCAGCTGTGCACGGTGGTCGCACGTCCAAGCATCGTGCAGCCTGAACGCTGCCTTAGCTTCCTAGATCCGACGAGATCGGGCGCATTGTGGGCGATTCGGTCAAAAGGCCATCGTTCACGTGGCAACAATCGCCCGCTGGCGATTTTCTCCGGGGAGATTCCTCCCGAATGTGACCGTAGGAGGTGGTGCAATCTCGGGGAAAAGAATTCTGTCAGAGAGAACCGAGTCGAGGAGTCCAGCCGAGGCGAACCGATCCTTCATCACGGCATCGCGGAGCGGATCGAACTGCTGCCTCCCAAGATTGGTCTCGCCCTTGCCTCTGCATGCACGTTCCAGTGTCTCCCATTCGTCGGTTTTGCGTGCTCTGCCTGCACAGTGATGAATAATCGGTGCGCGCGTGCCCGTGAGTGCGTGCGAGCGAGCGCGCGCGTCGTGTGGCATGCTTTATTCCTTGAGCACGAGGACCGTTGCGCAACCTGCAAGGCACCGGTGTCTCGCCACGTGCGTGTTGTGTGTGTGTGTGTGCGCGCGTTGTGCACCAAGCGTTCGTTCGTTACGCGTCGCGTGGCTCGCGTCATGATTGATCGCTTTAATATGAAATCTGAAATCGCCGGAAAGCACGTGTTTGTTAGAGCATGTCTCCCGCCAGCCCTCCACCACCCCCAGCCCCCAAGTCCCCCGTCGCGCTGCGGGCGCAGCAGCTCAGGATCGCCCCCCTTGATTACTGCACTCACCTTGGCGAAAACAAGGTCAGGGCACCTGCGAACGTAAACTACCTGTTTATGTTGTACCATTATCATCGTCGTCAGCATCGTTTCCTCTCCCCCATAATTTTTTTTTTGCAAACGTGTCTTCTCGCGTTACGTCGGATCGATGCGGCGGTGCCCGGTTGTCACGTGACGACGCAGCGCCGTGACCACCGCGGGACGCTTGCGGGTTCGACAGACGTGGCATGACAGACGTGACATGACGGACGTCACGTGACAGACGTGACGTGACAGACGTGACGCATCCGACGAGGCTGCCCCCGCGCGCGGCACCGCATGCTCGTGGCCACGTGTTTGATTTGGTTTTGGCCTTCCGGCTGCTCCGTGTTGTTCCCGTGCGTTTGCTTTTCATCCGTAAAACTCACAATTTGCTTCCTGTCGATGCCAGGAACGCGCTCGGACAGCTGTGTATATGTATATTGACGCATATTATCACAGCATTCAGGATGGGCTCTCACTTTGTGGCAAAGGTAGAGTTAATGTACTGCGACACAGGCGATTACCCAGACGTGGCTGGCTTAATTATTAATGTAAAACGCATATAAATTGTAGAAAATTAAGGAGTTGATCAATTCAATTGGGACAAATCCATAATGCAATGGGGGGGAGGGGGAGTCTGACAACATTGTTTAATTTAACTCTTGTGTGACGCTGTGATGTGGCTCTACCGATATGGGGTAGGTGGACTGCAGGAGGATGGGCACAAAAAGATTTGCAGGGTCCTTCCAGAGCCATTCTGCAATAATAAGCGTTATACATGCAACCTGTGTTATATTCTTGCATCTCAGCAGTACAAACCAAACTATGTAAAAGACAAAATCCAGCATTTCTATATGCTCAGCGAGCACCTGTCAAATTCAACTCGGCACTCCGAGGCTAATGTGGGCCTGCACCATGTGCTCCCGGCTGCCTTTGCCTCCCCAGTGACAGCCTTCATTTGAGGAGGCGCGGGCAAAATGCAGTCACCGGTTGCTACTTTGTGACGTGCGTGGGCGGCAATTGAACGCGGGGTTACCAAGATCGCGGTGCGGAAAGGCATCCACCACCAACTCCGCTCTTATATTTCAGAATGTTACAACAACAACAACATAAAACAATAACGCGAAATTGCACTCAGCCTGAAGTTGCGTGCGTGCGTGCGTTGCGTGCGTCACGTGTCCCTCGGTGCTTTTCGGGCATCGCGTGCCACGAAGGGAAGGCGAGGCGATGTCGCCGTTGAATATTGACGGACAGATCGATGATTGTAATCCCGCGTGCAGTTTGAACATCCCCCCCCACCCCCCGCCTCCCCCCGTAAAATAAAAAAAATATTGTCAACCTTCTTCCGTAAGCGGCAGGTTGTGCCACGGATCAATTAATAGACGGCTTGATTAAAAAAAAAAAGTAATTTTACAATCAATTTCCTTCGCAATCCATCAAATGCGGTCCACCGCGGGTTTTGGCGGTCAGAGAGGGCAGCTGCTTCCATTCCGATCGGGTTCCTCGCGACCTCGTTCAGTATCTATTGGCCCGATTGGCCGATATTGATGGAAAGTCTCAAGGCTGTGCTGGGTTAGCGCAATATTTCGCCCAGCGATTGATTTCTGAGACCAAGGGCACGGGGTTCAAAGCTTCGGTGTTCAAAAAGCTGTCAGTCCCCTCCCTCCCTCTCTGCGCAAGCATGCGCGCGTGTGTGTGTGTGCGCTCCAATGAACGACGTCGCCCATGTGCTGCCAAGAGGTCAATGCTTCTGCTTGGCTTGAATTCCGAATGCCAAAAGAGAATTGAGGCCCCCATTGGCAGCATTGCCAGCCGTGAGCTCTCGGTCCTATCGTATAAAACCCAGCGTACATTAAAAAAAATCTGCGTGGTATCTATAATAGAGGGTTTTTTGGGTTAGATCGCGTATAAAAATATGAAAGTGTCGTTAAAACCCGCCACCACCCGAAACGGCCAGCTAGTAAGGGTTGTCACGTAAACAGAACATGCCAATGCGTGGTATGCAAGAAGATTTTGCTGGATGTAGCCCGTCCCACGCACGCACACGCTCACACCACGCTGTTTGTGGAGGTTATTTGACATGCCCGCACACATCGGTCTACAGTTGTGCTATGATTGGTGCGTGGGAATGAGCAGCAGTGCAGCAGTTAGCGCGCTGCGCTACGGAGCAGACGAGCCGAGTTCGATTGTCCGCTCACGGCCACCAACACCAGCGACGATTGTCCGAACACCGCTGCTGGGCCTCCCTTAGGTCGACTCAGTCTTAAATTGAGTCACTGCTGTGGCGTGCGTGGTGCTGGCCACCCACCCCTTTGTGTTCCGTGCCGGCCTTCGTAGGTGCTCGTTAATAGTACTCGTCCCAAAAGTCTGTTAAGGTTAAACGGGGAGTGGGGCGGGAGGGAGTGCGGGGGGGGGGTCTTTGTCTTTGATGCGTAATAATCATTCTTTAAACGCCCTGCCTACCCACAGGCCATGCCACGTTTCTCTGTTCTCATCGAGGCCATCATTCTGTGACATGTTCGCGCGCTTTTTTATGCAAATTTACACAAATATATTGAAAACGTGATTGTATTTAGGGGCCGTCCATAAATGACGTCACGCACCTAGGGGGGGGGGGTCAGACATTTGTGACGATGTGACGAGGGGGGGGGGGGGTTTGAAGCAATGTGACGTCACGTAAAAATGCGCAACTTTAAATAAATATAGACAACACGTTCTACTTACATAAATAGACTTTTTAATAAATGTTTTCTCCTACAACATCAGAGTGCAGCGCCACATTAAATACGCACTACAATGACAATAGTTTAAAGCGATTTGAAGCATGTTTTTTTGGGGGGGAGGGAGGGGGCAGAGCTTTGTGACGTCATATTTGAGGGGGGGGGGTCTGACTTTTTGTGACGCCGTGTGACGATGGGGGGGGGGGGGGTCAAAAATCGTCCAAAATCGCGTGACGTCATTTATGAACGGCCCCTTTGACACTTTCCCCGCTGCGTTGTTAAAGTTTTGCACCCTTACTGATACAATAATAATAGAAGCGATATGCTTTTCGAGAAGGTTGCAATACGAAGCACGTTGTGAAAATTTAACGACGTGGAAATCATTGTTCTTGTCTCCCCACCCCCCTCCCCCCACCTTGTAAAATGTATCCACCTTCGTTTGACTACTCTGGGTGGGAAAATGGCACTGTTTTGTTGTGGAACGAAGACGTGACACGTGTGTATGTGACATTGATTTTCCCCCAGAGTAAGGGAGAACAGCAGCTGTGAAATCTCCAAGAGAACGGCGAAGATTTATAATTTATTGCTGCGTTATCAAATAATGACGTTACTTTTCGATTTAATGCTTTCGTGACTGCAGGGATTCATCTTCTTGGTTCTTTCGGTAAAGTCACGTAGAAGGGAAATAATAAAATAATAAAAATTAAACATATTCTTTTATTATGTTTTCTTTTTATTATTTTATTATTTCCCTTCTACGTGACTTTACCGAAAGAACCAAGAAAATGACGTCACTGTTGTTATATATTTTTTTTATTTACAACTTTTTTCCCCCCTCTTCTAAACGTTTCCGGGAATGATTCCCCAACCCTCACCACTGCTTAAGTTGTTTTTTTGTTTCACGTTTGGGATGCACGGAGCTCTCCGATGTGTGTGTATTATTTTTTTTTCCCCTGGTTGTACCGCGTGCTGTTCGAGGTTAGTGCCCAGCGTTCAGTTGCTTTCAGTTGTTCAGTTGGCTGAACGCTGGACAGTTCCCTCTGGGAGTGCGTGGATGCGAGACGCTAGACATGATGCCCAAACAAGCTGCGGCACAATCGAGAAAGAGAGAGAGAGAGCTATTCTTCTTCTCCGCCTTACAAACCAGTTCACAATACATCTGCTGTACATTTGTGAGCTCTGCGCGGTCCAGCGCTTGAGTGATTACCAGTCTCACGGGCCAGGCTCGTCTCGTCTCCAGTCGCCAGCCACTCAACTGATGATGTGCAAGGAGGGAGATGGGGAGATGGCGCTGCCTGTGAGATTTGAGAGCTGTCTGCCCCTCCTCACTGGCCGAAGGTTAATAAATACGTGTCGGCGTGCGAGTGCTCACTTCATCGCGAAATGTTGTTGGGTTTCTGTTTGTTATTGTTGTCGTTTGTTTTTTTTATGCCGCGGTCAACATACGGATGACGACACGTAAAAATCACTACGGAGATGCAACAGCAGTTTTGAGAGAAGCGTGCATTTATACGACATACTTGTTATACTGTAGTTGCATGCGATGAAATGAAACGCGTACGTTGCCGAGTAAACAAATAAACGAGACATTACCTATTGCATCAAATCGCTTGCGTGGAGATTTACTCGGAAAAGCATGAGCGGAGTGGCGTCGTCATTAATTCATTGCGCGCGCGCGCGCGCGTGTGCTCGCATTTACACCGAGGCTGGGGAGACTTTCCCAGGATTATTACGTGAACTGGATGTGCCACCTGCTCAGGGAGAACCTTGGGCGCATACATATTTCACACTCCAGCATGGGGAAGTGCCAACCAACGGCACTCCGCCGTCAACCCACATAGTGTGGGCGGCGTCTCTAATTGTCGACACTCTGTGAATCACAGTGAAATGATATCATCCGCAGACAATACTAAGACTCAGGCTGCCTCGCCTCTGTGGTACGGCATGGGTGACAGCATGTGTTCATTCCAGGTACTGCGCCCATAATATGTTCAACAGACAGAAATCAAGAGGGTTGGTGGGTTTTTCAAATAGAAGGGCGATCACAACACTCTATCCCAGCATTGCGATGCCATTGCAACTATTTAAGGTCACAATTGAATTAAATCAGTCAATAATATGCATTGCTATCATTTGTCCTGTTTGCTGGCTTTTATATCTATAGTTTGTATGATTTGATTTGCATTAGTCTAAAGGTAACATTAGCCGTATGATTCGTTTACAATTTTAATGACCTCTGAATTTATTACAGCCCAGGTTTTGATAGTTGGTGCTAAGCGCCTCTCCAGTGTGTTTTCGGGCCGTTCCACTATACGTTGCTCGGCACCATGTCCGACGTTTCGCACCACGAGCTGGGATCGAGCTTCAGGAACTGAATCTCAGGGAACAAACAGCAGAAGCTCTCCCCAGCACGTGCAGTAAATCTTCGGACATCGTGCCGAACAAAACACAGCGGTACAACCCGAAAACGCATCGAGTACACATTGCAAATTTTATATTTCGAACACGACATTTTACGCTTGTATTTTGAGAGAAAGAATCGATTTTAATTGCTTAATCAATGCGCCATTACTGCGTCCTATTTCGAGCCAAACCCATCATTTGTAAACCAAAAGGATGCCCCTTTATTACAGACACACTGTAGCCACGGTGGGCTCGTATAAAGTAATTGGCAGCAGTAAAGAGAGAGAGAGAGACGGGATTCTGGGCCGTGTGTCTCAATAAATAAAGCACACGGGGCAGAAGCAGAATTACTTGTGAAAAACTCAAATGCTTCTTAAGCTAAATTGGTCACGGTTCAGTGCTTGACACGTGGAAAATGCCGGTGGAACGCCGAACACGTTTTGCGCCAACAATTGGCGTGTTTAATGGGACATTCACTGGATTTAAAGTCGGGACATCAACGCCAATGGAGTCCTCAATCAGGCATTTGTGTCCTCTTAAATCAAGGTTTGTTGTTGTTCAGATGGTTTCGACTCAACCTATTATGCCTCTAGAGTAGGTAAAATATCACTTTGGGGGGTAAATCAACAGTGGTTGTCCTCTAGATAGACCTGTCCTCGTCATAGCAACGTGGAATTTCCACCACTGCCTCTGGGATGTAAAACAAGAGATGAGAGCCGCTGCAATGCTCGACTGAGCGAGACATTGCCATTAAGATTTATTCTACAATATTTAACTATGAAATAGGAATCTGTATAAATAAAGACCTTAACATTTGTGACGATGTGTGACGATAGAGGGAGGGGGTTGAAAAATGTGACGTCACATCAAAATGCGCAACTTTAAATAAACATAGACAACACGTTCTACTTAATTAAATAGACTTTTTAATAAATGTTTTCTCCTACAACATCAGAGTGCAGCGCCACATTAAATACGCACTACAATGACAATAGTTTAAAGCGATTTGAAGCATGTTTTATTTTTTTTGGGGGGGGGGGCAGAGCTTTGTGACGTCATATTTAGAGGGGGGGGTCTGACTTTTTGTGACGCCGTGTGACGAAGGGAGGGGGGGAGTCAAAAATCGTCCAAATCGCGTGACGTCATTTATGGACGATCCCTCTTTGTGACCAAGTAGTTATATACTGTAATCCTCCATAATACAGGGGGTTGGTTATCCTGTAATCCTACCAAAAATAACGTTGAGCGCTCTCCTATTGCTAGATTTGCAGTTACACGTGCACCCGCGACTTCTCGCGATAACACCGCGATCGTCCAGGCGCAAGCTCTCGCGAGATTTCTAAGCTCCTCCCACTAACCCCTTTGACCCCGCCCCCTTTCACCCGCCCCCTTCTCCCACCACCTTACCCCGCGCATGCGCAGAACGCCTCTCCCTCTCTCTCTCCACAGGCCCTACGGGTTGGTGCGGCCTAACCATGAAGGTAAAGTTATACTTCGCTAATTTCGCCCAAGCAGGACGATGGGGCGCAAATAGCGCTACGGGCGGGTACTTGGGAAGCTCGACTACGAACCGAGTCGCGTTGCGCGTCGTCGCGATGAGGCGATGGGTGCCGATGGTGGTGGATTTTGTTTGCTATCGGCTCGGGTGGATTTTGGTGGTTGGTGTAACATGGCGGTGTGTGGGCATGGTAGCCTCGCTCGTGGGCCTTTGCTGCACGCGAATCGCCGCTTAAGAGACTTTAAAACACGTGTCCTTCTGAACGCTCGCATTAATTCACGTGTTTTTTGCAACATTTGCAGACGGTGAATTGTGTTTTTAATATTGCGGCCGTACAGTGATCGTACAGTGGTTTGATTGAGGCCTTCATTGGAAAGTTCGTGCGAATTTTCTAGTCGAGGCCTGTAATGGGTATAATGTATGTTTCAAACTCTAATCTTATACCACCACAGGGAATTTGTTTTATGTATCTGGAAACGAATTGCGTTTCCTGAGAGACTGAACCGCTTTGTAGGTATACTGGCCCATGTCATTTGAATGTTGAATTCCCACCACTATCTCAAGATACCATCGCCACGTTTACCTTGATTTTTTAAAATCGTAATTATTGTAGTCCAGACAATTCCTGTGCTTAGAAAAATAAGCACTGCTGCACTGTGCTGGGAAACTGCAATGCAATCATGTACGCTACAACTTTGATTCATTATTCGGCTCGTTAAAGTTCTGTTGCTCAATTCGATTTGAAAGTTGCTTGGATGAGCGACCACCGTGCATAACCGGTGTTCTAGGCTGCTGATGGAGGCTACTTTGTGCGCAGCATAGGGTAGGGCAAAAAAAAATCCATTGTGTTGTACGGTACTTGTGTACTCCCACGGTCGCCATGCTCTGCGCCTTCAAGAAGTTTGGTCGAAGAGCCAATGTGTGTACTTGGGGGGTAGGGGGAGCGGTGGCGCAGTGGTTTATGCACTGCTACGATATCCGAACCGGTCTTTCCCTTGCCCCCCCCCCCCCGCCTTCACCGCCCACATTTCAATGCGTGGTGAAGTATGGTCAAACAACCCACATGGCAGAGGTTTTTATCCCATAGTGGACCGGACAAATGTTTGCACATTATATATTTTGCTATGAGAATTATACAATATACATTAATGTTGGCTGCACTTGATTAGCACCCAGCACCAGGGCTTGAACCATGGACCTTAGTGGTACTGGTTCAGAATAAGAACCCAATATTGATCCTTTAGAGCTATCCAGTTACCTGTTGACGCCTGTTGACATGCGAAGGCTTATGCTGCTTTAAACACATTCTCCCTGTCCTGTGCTCGCAGCTCAACATCTCATTCCCAGCCACGGGCTGCCAGAAGCTCATCGAGGTGGACGATGAACGAAAGCTTCGCAGCTTCTACGAGAAGCGCATGGCCACGGAGGTGTCCGCTGACTGCCTGGGCGACGAGTGGAAGGTGAGAGGGGGGGTGGGTGGGTTCGCAAGGCCCTTGTGTTCGTGCTACTATGACCAGCGGAGAAATATGCCGGCACAGGGCTGGGTCAAATAGCCTGGGTTCACACAGCACTTCGGTCTGGCCAAACTTATTAGATTATTGCGGTTCCAGAATCTCTGGGACACTTCTTAATTGCAAGGCCCGTGGGCCACTGGCAGCCTTTAGTTGTAGCCCATGATGTGAAAGTGGGCCCTTCTTTGAAAATTAGTGAAGTCTGAGATCAGACTCTTTTTAAACTGAACCACATGCTTAGCGCAGGGTCAATCCCAGAACCAGCCACCGATGTCATAAAGATGCAAGACATGGTTTTAGTGCAGTGCTTCTCAAGATTTGGATGTATTTGGCCGAGGGCAGCGGTGGCAGAGTGGTTTGCTCGCTGCGCTGTGAACATGGTGACCTCATTTAGAACCGTCCAATCCTGTGTGTTGGGAGAACCACCAGCCTGTGTTTTGCAGAAGTGCTTTGAAATCCCTTGGAAGTGACTTTTATCCACACGAAGTGGTGCCCTTCATAGCACGCCTTGTTACAGATAAATGGTGCATGCAAGTCAAATTGTAATTTTTAGTTCACATCGCTTTAATTCGCCCAATTGAAGTGAAAACTAATTATGATGGTTTTAGTACAGTCATCAGTGATTGGGTAGACATCTATTGGCTATAATTGAGTCTGCTATTTAATATTTGGCTTGATTTGAAGTGTCAGTAGTGTCTGTTCAATGCTCTGCCCAGGTGATATCAGTGTGTGCACGTTTATTAATGTGTGCATGCATTTCTATGGGTTTTTACTTACGTTTCCTACCACCTGAAATTGACCAAAACTCACAATGCAGGATCTTCCTGAAAAAGTTAAAAAGACCGATGCTTTCCTGGTTAGATAAAGGGAACTAGTCTTATATTTTGGCTTTTAGCTGGATGTATGTTAGATATCAAATTTCTCAAGACAACACCTTCCTGCAAAGTCTAGAGATATGACCTGGCATTTTTGGGTAAATGCTTGATATTATTTGCCCTCGTGTAGCGGTTATGCTCTCTTTTTTTCTCCCCTCACGGGAGATCGTCTGTTCGCCTCTGACTTTTGGCAATTGCCACGCTCACGTTATGGCGGGTCTCGCCCCCTCTTGCTGCTGCCACCCCCAGGGCTACGTGGTGCGCATCAGCGGAGGCAACGACAAGCAGGGCTTCCCCATGAAGCAGGGCGTGCTCACCAACGGGCGCGTGCGTCTGCTGCTTAGCAAGGGCCACTCGTGCTACCGCCCGCGTCGCACGGGCGAGCGCAAGCGCAAATCGGTGCGCGGTTGCATCGTCGACGCCAACCTGAGCGTGCTCAACTTGGTGATCGTCAAGAAGGGTGAGTCCTCAAGCCCATCTCCCTGTGGTTGTGTGGATTTTTCTCCAGGTCCTCCGGTTTTTCGCTAAACAGTTAGAAACGTGCGTTGAGAGCATTTAGTTGCTATACATTCCCACATTTTAAGCCACTTTGTTGAGCTATCATTTGTGGCCAGTTCGCTTCTGACAAAGAGCTATATAGCTCAGTGGGTCTTACCTGGTAAAATAAATAGTGTAGTTTTCTTGCTCGCGCTCTGTACTGGGATCTTGTAAAAAAAAAGGTGAGTCCCTCATGTCATCACTGACCTCTAGAGCATGGCTGGAGTGCCATGGGAATTGCGTTGCAGTGGTTAGGGTGATGTGCTGTGAACCTGGCGGCCTCGGTTTAAATTCCAGGCCTTGGCTAACATTGGTGGCATCAGAATTTCACCACCATGTGTATTTGCATTGCGATTGACCCATCGGCTTGAAGTTGGAGTGTGTGGCTCATGCAGAGGTCGAGGTGTAACTTTTGCTTATTTTGGTGTTGCGAAGGCGAGAAGGACATCCCCGGCCTGACCGACACCACCATCCCTCGCCGCCTGGGACCCAAGCGTGCCAGCAAGATCCGCAAGCTCTTCAACCTCTCAAAGGAGGACGACGTGAGGAAATACGTGGTCAGGAGACCACTCACCAAGGAAGGTGCGTGGTTTGGTGCTCGGGAGCGGTGAATGGTATTAGACATGCATATAATGCAGGACAAATTGGGTCAATATAGCATCTAAATGTGACTGCACCTCAAGGTCCTGTACAGATGTCGAGGATATTTATATTGTACATGGAAGCAGTCGGTCATATCGAGAGCAAACAAGTATAACCCGTAAAAACAAAGTTTTTCCCTAAATCCTTTATATGCGTGGCAGCTAGAGTCCTCTCGTCCTCTGGCTTGAGATGGCTGCCACCTATGGGTCAGATGATTGCATTGCACCATTAAGCAATTGGTAATTAAATATAATATTTTTGTCCTAAAAAGTGGAAAATTTTGAAAAAAAAATTTCACGAACATTAATTGTCACGCACAACGAGTCTGTGTGGAAAATGTCAGCTCGATTGGATCACGGGAAGTGGGTTAAAAAACGACCGAAAAATTTGCACGGTCGTAAGCAAGCAAGCGAACTTAATATAAAGGATTTAAAAAGGAAGTTCTTTATCCTGCACTTGGACAGGTAATTAATAGCACAGATGGCTGTGGGGAATTTTAGAATGGGGGCAGCAGAGGAGAAACGGTGACCTTCCACAGCCTAGGTTCAATGGGGGCTTCAATTGCTGGCATTGCTTTCTGGCATGGAGGGGAGTAGAGAGATCAGATGGAAGACTTAATTAAGCAGTGGCGAGTTAATGGAGGATTGTGAAGACATTGAATGTGATCTTAATTGTTACATTCATTATACAATCATTGTCGATGACAGCTGTCATGTATTGGACTGTTTAAGTATGATTTTTTTGTAATTGGTATCACGTGGTCCCTGTATCCACGAGTGGTAACCCTGAATTGTGACACTGCATCGAATCGTGATGTGCCGAGCCACCATGCCATGGAGCCATCACTGCACTGTGATGATGGGTCAGAATGCTATAGAGGTACCTCAGGTGAAATATGTCGTGGGTTCAATAGCCACAGCTGATAACATATATAGGTTCGCCATGGTATTGGGGCTTGTAAAAATAGTATCTGAGTGGTTCGATAAATTGCTGAATCAATACGCTGGAGAGGCATCGTTTTAGTAAATAAAATTGTAAAAATCCCAGTTGGTTGGACATGTAAAATGTGCCGCTATATTTTGGTAGTTTTTTTGTATATAAAATGCGTTTTCATCTATTTGCCAAATGCTCATGTTTTAACAATAGCATGCAGCGTTTTTCAATGGCACGCTTTTAAATGAACACGTCTCTTGGAGATAAACATCCACTCTCTTGACAAGGGCAAAAAAAACAGCGTCCATTTGGTACGATTAAACAGGCGGGCTCGACAACTCAAAAAACATCCAGAGAATTGTTGGTAGGAAGCCCTGCTGAATGCTTAATGATTCACAAGTGGTTGCAGTGCCTTTGGAATGCATTCGCTTGGATTTGTTTTGTTTCCTCCGAGTGAGGCAGCTTCCAGTGGCAAGGTCACTAGGGGTCTGCTTTTATGAGCTTCTGAATGAATTGCTCCAATATCATTTGTGCAGTAAATCTGCTCTCAGAGTGCATATTTTTTTGTGCAGGCTGTATAGGTTTTTGTTTGTATTGAACTGGCCCCGCGCATGAATTGATTGGTACGAGCATGTCATTTGTAAATGTTTGAAATGGCATTGCTGTGACCAAACTGATGTAATCCTTAGGCTAAAGTGAGAATTTAATATTTTATCTCACAAGATTTCAATGTCGGTCTAATAGAGCCATTGTGCACTCATATCAGCCACCATCCAAAAATTGATTGCCTGCGACTAAATAAAATATTGACTGCCTGCTGTGTGTCTCATGCAAGACTACTAAATGCATCTATAAGTGCATGCATTGGGTGAAGAAAGATTAAATAAAAACTAGTACCTGTTTGCTTTAGATGTGTGACAATGGTGTGTCCCCTCAGCAGTAATCATCAAACAACCCCCGTCATTACACAGCATGGCCCTTGGCCAGGCAGTGGTTTAACAAAAGGGCGGTCTTTTTTATTTTCTGTTTACAAAACTTCACACATCGAACAATCTGTTCGTCTCTCACGGGCCACGTAAGCTTATACAGCAACGAGTGGCGGCCAGCTCGTTAAAATAAATCTCGGGCGTGCATTTATGGACCGGGGCTGTTTGCGATCGTTGACCACGCAGGCAAGAAGCCGCGCTCCAAGGCGCCCAAGATCCAGCGGCTGGTGACGCCGCGCGTACTGCAGCATAAGCGCCGCCGCATCGCCCTCAAGAAGCGACGCACGCTCAAGAACAAGGAGCAGGCGGCTGATTACGCACGCCTGCTCGCCAAGAGGCTCAAGGTGAGAAGGGCCCGGGCCGGCCACATCGCGCCCCCACCGTGTGTGCTGGGTGCTCCGTACGGAGGGGCCAGGTGGTTTAGTTTGCCGAGGGTCGGTCGTGCTCGCTTCTTTTTCAAGCCTTTCGAGCAATTCGCCCGGAATGTGCCCCCGATCTCGTCGGTTTTCTGAAGCAACAAAGCAGTCGAGCCTCGATTGTGCTTGGGTGTGGGCGACAACCATGCGTACAATACGTATCGCGGGCTGCTACAGGAGAGCTCCGTTGCAGGCAGCAGGGGGCAGTGCAGCAGTCAATTTGCTATACTGTACTTGAGTATTTGGTTGCTGTAAATTTCCATGCGATAAGCCCACTAAGTTGAGCTATCATTTGTGGCCAGGTCGCTTCTGAAAAAGAGCTCTATAGCTCTGGGTTTTATCTGGAAAAATAGTGAAATTGTTTAGTTTAATACTTTCCTGTGTTTTAAACCTTAACTAGCGTGGTGAAGTTTTAGTCGACCTCCACGATCCACAGCATGGGAAAACCCCTTTTCTAATAGTGGATTGACAACTGGGCTGTCTATACATGTGCAATGCTTGATGTTGGGCCAATCACAGTTTCATTATAGCTTTTATAGTCTACTATAGGCATGTAAATATGCATGGATTCATCTTTAAATTAGAGTATTACTTTTCGATTTTAAGCTTTCGTGACTGCACGGATTCATCTTCTTGGTTCTTTCGGTAAAGTTACGTGACTTTACCGAAAGAACCAAGAAGATAGAGTGTTACTATATAATGCATACAAAATCCACCCTGTGATGTCAATACCATTTGTGATTCGTATATGTGGTATGTCGTGGATTAATTTGTCCCCTAAGGTACTTGAGGGGTTACATTTCACCATAGTTGTAAACCCAATTTTGTTATCGAATCACGACCCTGAATGATGAATTACAATTCCAAAATTGCGAGCGAGGAGACGTATAACACGCAATCTTTCTTTGAGTTCTATTCAATTGGCATTCGTGTTTCAATCCCTCTTTTATTTACAGGGCTCTGTAATGATTGGTCATGGCAGAAATGTCTAATGAAGAGCCAGGTTTTATGTACGAACTCTTAAGATTGCTTTTCTACATTGACTGTAGATACTCGTATGAGGGAATGATGTGCCAGTCTAGATTATGGGAGCTTCTGCACATTTTTCCAGCTAATGTTTTTTAACTCTTGATGGCTCAAAGAATGTAGGACTTTTACTCGTTAGCATAAAACCACGACACTGTGTGCCATTTCGTGAACAAGAGCACCACTTTTCAGTTATTGGGTGGCAAAATAAGCACACGGATTTTAATATGGAGAGTGAAATGGCTGGTGTGAACCAAACGCACCGTTTCCAAACAGTTTGGCATTACGTAATCACTTCTGTGTAATTGTACCATCTCCGCATAGTGCATATTTAAACTAAAACATTTGAGTGGAGTAGGCAGATCATAGCATGGTGAAGCAGCTCTCCAATTGGCCATGGCACTCAATACGATTTCCGTCTGGGGCTGTCTTGTTTTCGTGATGAGAGGTTCCCGTCACTTTAAGCATTTTTGTTCTATGCCTCTAGTTAAAAGCCTCCATCCTGCATCATGCCAGAGTATTTACTGGGTTACTGTGCCTTGGGTCCCCCGTGGCTTATGCTTTGTTGGCTCGACTCTGCCTTAACTGTGTGACCTTGGCTTTGCACTGGTTGTGTGCATCTCGTGAGTGGTGATACTTTGGTCATGCTCTTGCACAGGTCACGGTGTAGATGGGTTTTGCTCGGCTATGCATGACGCGTTAGCAATAAACTATAAATTTTGTGCTAAACAATAACCCCCACATAACCACAAGGGGTCACCGCAGTACTCCCATTGCATTCTCAACGTCTCCCATAATGAGAAATGTTAGAAGCTTTTAAATGCTGTTGACATAGTGCAGGAGGTATTCAACGGCAGTAATGACACATTTTTACACCTGGCCTGTCGCCTAACTTTTACACGAAAACACTGTCTCCCTCGCTCCCTCTAGATTGCAATAAATATTCATGGAAGTTGAGTGCTTTTGATGTCGATGTATCAAACGTATTCGACTTAAAAAATGAGTGTGCACAGTAAATGATGAAGGCCCTGTAATTGTGCTATAATGCTTTAACAAACTCGAGGCCTGGAAAAGGTGGGAAACTGAAGTAATTGTTTTGCTCGCGATGGAGAAATGTACAATCAGTCTCACTCAAAGTGCCTTCCGCAATCTGCATCCCGCCCGTGTCCTGTGCTCTCGTGAAACGGGAAAATAGTTGGAACTGATACAAAAAAACGAACTTTGAAAACCAAAAATCAAATTAAACCCCGCACTGCAAGCAGTTGCAAGTTTAGTTTCAAGGAGAGGCACACAGCAAGCGATAGGAAATTGGGTTTGACACTCCAAGCGTGTGGCTTGGTTGGGTCACGTGGAGTCATTGCACCACTTTTGGCCTCATAAATCCAAGCCGTTGGTATTAATTTCTCCCAACGAACGTGTATATTTTTAAAACCTAGTAAACATCGTTTTCGTAAGAAAATTATATGCGAAAATATGTTAGTTTTCTTCCCGTATCTGAATTTGACACCATTGCAAAATCAAAACGGTTATTTGAGCAGTGGTCATTTGTGTTCCAGGCCTTGAGCCAGTGATAGAAATTACCTCTTCCTGTGCTCAGAACCGTTGAGTTAATAGAACAGCCACTGTTCCAACAAGTGATGTTGAGATTTTGGTCCTTATTTTATCGACCCTCGAGTGATGAATGTCTGGAATTTAAACAAATTATCCCCTGTGCCTAAGTTTCAACGGTTGTCTAATAGCTCACATATGTGTTTTCCAGTTGAGCTGTGTGTTGTGCAATTGAACAAGATGCTGTACAATCTGAAAACACCGAAACGATTTCTTGATTGGAAGCCTAACTGTGCTACCAGCTGAGCTCTTCAAAGTACATGTTCATGGCACCCGTGCATTACTGTTCTTGATTCCCCTCTGCCGAGCTGGTCACAGGGATCCCTCTGTACCAGTTGCCCTCACAAGTCGATACTATGACGTGCGATTGCTGCAACAGCGGTTTAATCACCCCTCCCCCTCATTCACTGTCCATCTGCAGGAGGCGAAGGAGAAGCGGCAGGAGCAAATCGCCAAGCGCCGTCGCATCTCCTCGCTGCGCGCCTCCACCTCCAAGTCCGAGTCGAGCCAGAAGTGAAGCGCTCCCCATGCTGCCTTGTCGGCGCGAGGCTTGGCTGTGGAGCTGCGCTCATGTCAGCACCCGCGCAGCTCTGTAACATGTCGTTTGCCACAATAAATGGACGTCGGAAAATTGAGCACCGCCTGTGCGTCTTGTGCTTAATTTTTGTTGTTACTCGATGCGCGTAAAAATGTGTTGCGGCTTTTAAGGATTGGGGTTGTAATTGAACGAAGCCTTTGCAGTTTTATACTGTCGTTTAGTTTTGATAATAATTGTGCATGGCGATGCATCCCTGTCAGCCATCACGCTTTGGAGATCAGGAGGTGGTAGGGGTGGATTGATACATCCCTCGAAATTTAGATTTTTAAGCACAATGTATGAACAGATCTAAAAAAAACAAGGTTTTCAAGTAGTCTTCGCATGATTTGAAGCTTTCGTGACTGCAGGAATCCATACTCTGGTTCTTTCGGTAAAGTCACGTAGGTATAAAATAAATCACGACGTTTTGGGCGCAACACAAGCGTCCATCAGGTGTGTTGTTCCCGATTTTATTTTATACCTACGTGACTATAGCGAAAGAACCAAAGAGTATAGTCTTTGCATACAGCCTCTACAGGTGCAACTGTTTATCACATTCTTATGAATGAATCCTGATTTACAGCAGTGGAACGGTAGGTTTGCATACCGCACTGAACCTGGTGCCTTGAGTTTTTTCCCTGTTGGGGCTTACATTGGCAAGTGATCTGAACCTGACCAGTGGTAAACTATGGTCAAACAACCCCCATGATTGGCATGGCATGGGGAAGTCTTCATGCAGCAGTGATGAATATCTCAACATTTTTATCCATTTGTAACATTGAATCAGGATTCATCAAGTCACCCACTTAAAAAACGCTGGGCTGACAGCCAATAAATGGCAGTACACCAAGTTGGTTTGTGAATGAAGCGATCTTTAGCTTATTTTCTCGAGGTATTCCACCCACGCATTTTTGTGAAGACTTAGCCGGACATTGGAATGCAGGATTTTCCTAGGAAAGCTGAAAGCTTTGGGATTTATGTTCGTGCACTGTGGCTTCCTGGCATCCAGAACACTCCTTGCCATGTAATTTACAAAAAAAAATCCCAATGCAGTATCCTCGTTGAAAATATAATCTTATGACTTGGGAGTTAACCACGTCAGAAGAGGGAGATGTGGAGTTGTGCCAGAGCCAATTACGCATGGCTGGGACGAGTTGAGGCATCGTTTTTTAAAGTGAGAAGTCATGCGTGAGGAAGGCAGTATCAGTTGCCATGCATTGATGAGTTTGGATTGAGTTGTCGGGTTGGGTGTGTTACGCATAAGGGATAAGCTTATGCGGGGTCTATGATTTGTATGTACATTATATGGGCAAACGCACTTGATGTACATGTTTGCATGCAAGAACAGCTGCGTTTCTGTGAAGTGCACTACGACGTGAACAAAGCATATCTTCTCACTGACACTTTAAACGTCAACGCAGTACAAGCAAAAAGGAGAATTGTGCAATGCCTGCGCTTAAAATGATCAACTGGATACTTAAGGGGAGGACCAAAACTATATATCCGTAATGCAAGCTGGGTTTCCCTATCACAACACGCCTGCTCTTAATGGGGTCTGCCTAATTATACAGCACGACTACAGGCCACGCATGTGCCTACACCCGTATTGTATGAGGGCCTCCAGAAGAGATCCAATAACATCACGGCGCAATGCCCGATCCACAAATAAACACGTTCCTGCGGAGGGAGCTGGTAGGCACGTTGGGTTGCTCGGTCAATGGCCAGGGTCAACAGCGGCGTGGTGTATTCCGCAAATATGCCAGACAGAGCGGGCACAAGCCGGCGTGAGTAGGTTAAACGTTGAGTTTTATAAGGGCACCACGGGGTGACCAGCCCCTCTCCACCCAGCCCTACCCCCACCCTCCACACCCAGCCCCTCCCTGCACGACGAACACAATAATCCCCTGTGGGCTGGTGTAACCAGGAGGTTCCTACCATTATGACATTTGATATAGCGTCATGCAATTGCATCCCCACAACGCTACACGGAGACATCGCAGCCATCCAGGTGGTGGCCTGGCCACCTGAATGTGACATCGTCGTTGCTCTGCATCTACATCAGCAGCCATACGAAAGAACCAAAGCCTCCACGTTCTAGAGTGAGTCAGTCATTTCTCACCCTCACAAGTAAGCCCCCTGTTATGGTGTGAAGTGTCTGTATATTAGGTACGGCATGTACTGTTATTAAATAGGGTTGCAATGTGCTGAAAGAAACCCGACTACCTACTGAAGCATGGTCGTTAATGAAAACGGAACAATTGTAAAGTGTATCGAAGCGTTGGGGAGATGCATGCCAGGGCATTACACCGACACACAAGCAGTCAAAAATGCAAACAAAAAGAAACAACTCTGATAATGATATGCACTGTTCTTAAAGTCAATACCTTTCATATCATTATCAGAGTTGTTTCATTTTGTTAGCATTTTGACTGCTTGTGTTGTGGTTATTGCAAACATGATCCCTTGTATAAAGGTGTCAGTTTTGTACCAGTTAAAAGGGTAAAAACCTATTACTATATTTTGCCACTGGAAAAGGAGGTCTCATAGTGATGAATATAGTATACTACCATATTGATCCGTAAAAATGTTTGGCTTCGGCCACCTCGTCGTTTGCCAAAATAGTCAACCCTCCGCAACCCTACAATAACCCGAACCCTTGCGTTTTAAAACAACAGCATCGTCCTATATCCCACGTACCATAAACTCAACAGCCCCTCCCTGCACGTGTCACAAACTGTCCCAGTAAAAAATTAATAAAAGTATAATAATAATAAAAATACTTTTATTAATTTAAATTGTTTTACCTACGTGACTTTACCGAAAAAACCTAACAATATGAATCCTTGCAGTCACGAAAGCTTCAAATCTAGAATGTCCCAGTCAACACGTGCCCACACGTGCGGGAAGACGCACATTGATTTTGTGGGCGTGGCCTCTTTACACGCCGGCGGAAGTGACGTCCGGGCCGTAACCCTTGCCTTGTGATAGGTCGATTCCGGGAGTGGGCGTGGCGCGTGGGTCGTGGGGGGGTTGGGCTGTTGGCGGAGTGATACGTTCCCCACATGGCCCCTCCGAGCGAACAAAGTGAAGCGGCTACCCCCCCCACCCCCCACCACCAACCTCATGGCGCCGCTTCACAGTCGCGCGCTTACTTCTGTGTCGCTGCGCCGCGTGCGCACTTGATTCGCATGGGGGGGTGGTGGGGGTCGCCTTGAAAACGAAACATTTGCGATTAAACATTAAATAACGAGAAAAGTTTCGTGGGGAAGGGTTTTTTTTATTTATTTGACGCTTCGTTCAAACACCGAGCGAGCGAGGACGAGCTTCCAGCTTCACGACTGTCGGTGAGTGCGTGGATTTTTTGTGTGTTTTGTTTGTATCTGCTGTAGTGGAGCTGTGGGTGGTGTTGTTGTTGTTGTTATAAGGCTGATGATGTCCCCTTACTACTTTACTTACGTGAAGTGCTATTGTTCATCGTTAGCGTGTCGCATTGTGCTCGTGCGTACACGGTGCAAAGGGAAAACACAAGCAAAGTTGTTGGCAGAGAGCGGTGAAAGCGACACATTGATTGTTTCGAGGTCTATGGGGGGCTCTTACAGCCTTCAACAAGCACGCACTAATGACCGGCGTGGTGAAGTATGGTCAAATTACCGCACTCAAGGTGTGATGTGACCCCCCCTCCCTCCCCAACCCACATCTTATAGCAGTGTGTGTCTTAATAGGTTAATACTCTGAGTTTTTTTCGGTAAAGTCACGTAGGTAAAAATAAAAAAATAAAATATTTTATTTCTATTATTTATAAAAAAAAATAGAAATAATATTATTTAATTTCTATTATAATTTCAACAATTTTTATTATTTATTTTTACCTACGTGACTTTACCGAAAAAAACCTCAGAGTATAAATCCTTGCAGTCACGAAAGCTTCAAATCTAGAATGAATAGGTTAAGTTTAACACGTTATAATGATCAAACTTGCCAACCCATACGGTTCACCCAGTATTATTGTGCTGGGGCATTGAGACCACACGGCGTTTCAGCCCTTTCAATGCGTGCTAAACATTCAATGCGTGCTAAACATTCAATGCGTGCTAAATATTGGTGTTTTTTTTGGGTCTATTTGTGTTTCTACCTCGTAATGGGATTTTGTAGGATGAACATTGATATTTACAAGGGCCACTGGGTGATCATTAAGGTCTGAATCTGCCCGTAATAAGGCAGGGGGCATTGATAAGGGATTAGACATGTTATAAAATGCCTTTGTGCGGCATGGCACTTGTGCGTGTAGCAGTGGCACTTTAACGTGGTGCAATGTACAGGGTCACGAAATATACAACAACCTTAGTGGCGGTGACGTCACCACGACGCTTGTGCCAGGCCACGTGCACCTTGAGGCCACGTGAAGTGTCGAACGCCCGCTGGCAGGAGGTCACGGGGCAGACCCAGCAGGTACCACGGGTCGACTGACTGAGATTAGTGAGATGACTGGCTGATGCACCACCTGTGCCCCCTACTGTGCTAACTTGCTGTGCTTTATCCACCCGGCGCTCCGCTCGTTGTTGTGAGCGTCGCTCCTCTGCCCTCCGTTTTTGTTGGAGGGCGACTGCCTCCAACTGCTCAGTAGCCTCAAGGTGCACCTAGCCTGGCACTGCCCAGTAGTAGCGTCTTTCACGAGCCTCCTCCACAGAGGCCGATCTTGACACCGCTGGTACCAGTCATCGGCAAGTCCACTCAGCTCCACGTGCTCCTGTACCACATCACTCCATCTCTTCTCTAGCCCGTGCTGCGCCCGTTTAGCCCCCTCGCAATATACGAACCCTGATTGATGTGCACACGCACTGAGTGTACACAGCAACGGTGGTTGTCCTTTGGATGTACCTACCAGGTATGTTGCGGGATGGACTGAACATGGTCATGGCAATGTGGAATGTGTCCCCTCTGCATGTCTCTGTTCGTTCTGATTGGGTAGGCAGACTTGACTTTATACCAAGCGGGTGTTCGGAGGCGTTCATCCAGCAGTGGATGAAGGCGGATATTTATTTGTGTGCAACATGGAATTAGTGGTTCTTGTGCCACCGTTCTCTCTCCCATTACCTCACTGCCCCAGCTCTCCACTACCGTCTCCTCTCTCACTCTCGCATCTCTCCACTCACTCCAATCTTCTCACATCTCTCCCGTCTCTCCACTCACTCCAATCTTCTCCTATCTCTCTCACTCTCACATCTCTCCACTCACTCCAATCTTCTCACATCTCTCCCGTCTTTCCACTCACTCCCATCTCCTCCTATCTCTCTCTCACTCTCACATCTCTCCACTCACTCCAATCTTCTCCTATCTCTCTCGCATCTCTCTCTCCCGTCTCTCCACTCACTCCAATCTCCTCCTATCCCTCTCACTCTCACATCTCTCCACTCACTCCAATCTTCTCACATCTCTCCCGTCTCTCCACTCACTCCAATCTTCTCCTATCTCTCTCACTCTCACATCTCTCCACTCACTCCAATCTTCTCCTATCTCTCTCGCATCTCTCTCTCCCGTCTCTCCACTCACTCCAATCTCCTCCTATCTCTCTCACTCTCACATCTCTCCACTCACTCCAATCTTCTCACATCTCTCCCGTCTTTCCACTCCCATATCCTCCTATCTCTCTCACATCTCTCCACTCACTCCCATCTCCTATCTCTCTCACTCTCACATCTCTCCACTCACTCCCATATCCTCCTATCTCTCCACTCACTCCCATCTTCTCCTATCACTCTCACATCTCTCCACTCCCATCTTCTCCCATCTCTCCCCTCACTCCCATGTCTCTCACTCTCCCATCTCTCTCCTCACGCCCTCATCTCCTCTCCCATCACAGGCGAAAGCCCATTGATATTCACGATCTATTCCCACCTGTATCCGAGGATATTCGTAGGCACATTTGGAACACCGATGACATCACCCCCAGGGTCGTTAGCATACACCTTTCATCAGGTGGCACGGTTCGATATTGCTATGTAGAAATTTACTCGGCAGCTGCAGCAAGAATCTTAACTGATCCTCTGCAAATCACTGACCACTCTATCCCGGTTTTCCTTTCACATCATCCCAGCACTTACTACGGTAGTATACTGCCTTTGAAAAGGACTAAATTGCTCCTCAATTATTAAACCAATTATCCTGAGCGTGGGTTATTATTCAGTGTGAGCTATTGCGCGTGTAATCGGTCATCTGATAATTCATGTGTGTGGTTATATTTAATTGTTAATGCTTAATGTTGTGTGTCGGTGTTCCTGGTGATAATTGTTGCTATGTCTCACTCCACCACCACCAAAAAACAAAGACAAAGATCCCCCGTATAGCCTGAACAGACTTGGGGCAAGTGCTGTTAGCAAGCACCTATGAAAGCCGACACGACACACAAGGGGGTGGGTGGCCAGCACCACGCCCGGCCGCCTTTGTCTCTGCAGTGGTGATGATTTTACACACCGCACCAGGTACCAATTTGAGGCTAAGTCGACCTAGGGGAGGCCCAGGACCGGTTCAGATAATTTTCGCTTGTGTTGGCCGTGAGCGGGAATCGAACTCGGGTCACCAGATCCGTAGCGCAGCATGCTTACCACTACACTACCGCTCCCCAACCACCACCACCGCACGCGCCATGTGCTGATTGCGCGATGTTGGCTTTTCATGCGCGGAAATTCATGCGGAGAAGCGAATTTATTGTTACAAAAGGAAAGCGGCGTTGGTGGACGGCATCACTCAGGGGGTCGGGGCGGGGGGCGGCTGCGTGCAAACCACATCCCAAGGACCCCTAAATAAATTAAACCCGTTTTTTATTTCCATCCGAGAGCCCCGTTGGGAGATGGTTTCTGTTTAACGAGAGAGACCTGCATCCAGTAAATGCCAGCCTTTTGTTTACGACAAGCTGAAAAAGCCCATTATTAACAGTCAGGACCACTCAGCTTGCCAGAATTCTGTGGGATGATGACGCACAGGTAATGAGTTCAAGTCCCGGTCAATGTCAGCTTGGCCCCATGAATTGTTTTACTGAGATCCAGCAGTGGATTAATCAATCGTAAGTTATCAAGTTGCTTGTTTTAAGGAATCTCCACTAAAATAACTGGTTATGTAAAAATAATAACTGGTTTTCTTTCACTTGCCACTTGGAGGAAAGAAAGATGTTGACATTTTGACTCCCTGGCTTTCTTCTGGAAGTATTAAGGGTTGGGGAGTGAGTCAAACAGTCCTTGCTTGGTATGTGGCTTTAGATAGTATGTGAATACACTTTTTATCTGGCCGAAGTATAATTGTAGAATGCATTTCGTGGAGCGAGGAAGCCTATCAGAGTCGTAACTTGTATCAGGAGGGTCTTGTATTCGGACATTTGCCAAATTCCATTGTGGGAGGAAACCGCTTTTCCCAGAGAAAACCAACACTGTTTTCATGATGGGATAGCTCTCTTAAACTGCACAGTGATAGATTTAAGAATCCATTGCTGGTCAACCATTTAATGAGCACCTCACAGCTCAAACGTACAACACCTGGTATGCACAGGCATTCTCACATGTAAGTACTCGCCAGATTAAACCTTATTCTTGCGAGACCCAATAATATTTGGCGCATTCGTTGTGATTTGGTTGTAGGATGGCGAATGTCTGGTTGTGTGCGTGTGTGTTAAAATTGATCTTTAGTCTGGATGGATGTAGACAACAACGATGGATATCTGATACTGGCAAAAAAAGGTATCCCATGCTCTGATAAGTGCATTGGCTTTCTACTGTTCACTTTTTGGCCTTCTCTGGTCTGGCACTAGTGAGACTAGGCCATAAAGAAGGCTCTCTCTGGTGTAGGCCAATCCGTTTCAAAGATAATATGCATTTATATAATCAGAGCATGTTATGTTTGCATGTTCACCACAGGTACGTGTGGTTAATGCAGACTTGATTTCTTGCAAAAAGTTTATATTCGGTGTTTGAATATCTTAACACCTGTTTTATTGCCAGAAAGAGTAAAACCTAGTCTTATTTATTTTGCAACAACAATAGAACTTGGCAGGAGATGGGGATGGGTTTGGCCCTGTGGTTAAGAAGTGGGCTCCACGGTCTGGCTTCGATTTGACAAACTACAGAAGTGAGTAAGGTGTTTTTCTCAATGTTACACTGAATGTGTTTGCGTGACTTCCGCCTTCTAGGGGGTTGTAAATGCCCTCCCCTCCGAATGTGCGCTTCTTTGAAGAATCTCTCGCTGCCCTTTTCGTTCTCACACACCACCCTTCCTCCCCATCTTCTCGTTGCTGCTCATAGTTGACCGAGCGTTGAGGACCTCTCACCACGTGGAGCGAAACGGTTGCCGGAGCAGA